AGACTAGTAGCTGTAGAACTAGTCGAATGTCGAGCGTTTCAACATTAACTACGCAATATTACGAAGGTAATAGAACAATTTACGTTTGCGCTACCTGCTTTTTACATTTTCGCTGCTATACCATGCAAATACATTCTATATTCCTACATACGTATACCGTGATGTAAACACTGATGTTAATGAACTTTTGATTTTCTTGCCGGTGTCCATGATTACCAAAGTGTTTTGCAGTGTCTAATTAAGTCTTCTTTTTTTCTAAGCACCCTGTAGATGTAAATATAATTATAATTATGTCTGTTTGGTATGCGTATGAAACTTAATTTGGTTTCAAATCTCATAATCTCATGTTACTCGGAAATTCTTCTCGAGTGCACTCGGCTTTTTGCGTTTATTTGCACACTTGATGTGATACGCACTTGGTTTATTTGTTGGTTTGATCTTGAGTGTGCATCTTCTAACGCTAATTGCAATTCACTGTCGGATTTATAATAAGAAGTTTATTTTTGCTGGAATTATGTAAACGTGAAGAGTGAGTGCATTTCAGACATTGACACTGATGGTTTCTGATATTATAGCAACATGAATCTTCAATTTCGAAATTTTTGTTTTTATTTATTTTTTCTTGCTCAGTGAACAGCTTGATGAATATCTTTTGAACTCGTGTTATGAGTTAGTTATTAGGTTGAAATGAAAAATATTACCGCATGTAATTAAAATGTACTTAGCATTCGATATGTTCAGAAATTCGTAGGCATAATTAACCGTGATTACTGCGTTCCGACGCTAACAAATTGTAAGCTCCGATGGAGAAACTGTTAATTGCTAATTGCGTCAATTCATTAGCGCTTATAACACACTCGCATTCATTTCCACCTGATTTCACACATATTTATTTGCGCGCGCGATTTTTCCTAATTGAAATTTAATTTTCGAGTTTTAATTTTTCTGGTATACTTTCATTATTATACTGTGTTGTTGAAAACAAAGAGAAAATGTTGTGTTCGACGAGAGGTTGGTCCTCTGGTCCTGCGGTCGGTCCATTGCGGTTTACATCTAACGACGTGAGTAACCTAGTCTCGAGAGGAGTATCTACGAGATGCCCCGTTAGTTTTACGTTATTTTCTGCGCTTTCCAGCGCGCTGATCGAGCGTTGATAGCCGCCGGTTCGGCATTGAACGATCGAAACGTCGATGCACGCGCGTCGATTGTGTGCACCGCGCATTTCTTGTGTGTGACTGACATTTAACATTATATTTCATTCAAAAACACTGCGAAAACTAATCATTTATGGCATTTTATCGAGTTGAACTTGTAACGTGCTCCGCCCACTTACTGCACTCCTATTGGTTGCTCTTGAGCATGCGCAGTAAAAAACAGTGGCTTTGTAGCGAAATGTTGTCGAATATTGCAATTATTTTAATACCTGTAGCATGTTCACAATTTTGATTCTAACATTATTTGATAGTCAATTATTCTGCCATCCTTGAATCCTGTTTGCGTCATGGTTTCGTTGAGCGTTTAATGATGATGACGCGCGATGATGATACCTGCCGGCAATGTTCGCGTGGTCATTGCTGATTGTTGCACGAATTACGTGAATTCCGGTGCTATTTTTAGTTGTTTAAAGATTTTCAACTTTTTTGTCGTTTTTTTCTTTGTGTGATCGTTTAGTATTGTTAGTATTTGCGTTTGTGGTATATTTTATTGTTAACGAGTTGAGTCAACTTAATCTGAATTAAATTACACACGCTGGAAACTCGAGCGCATGTGTGACTCGCGAATAATGGCGATTTAACTGCGTAACAGTGAAACGATAAAACTAGACCGAAATTTAATTAAAATAATGAGAGAGTCGCGAACAAAGTGTACGAATTTTTAGTACCGTTAGGTTTTTGGCGAAATTTGCCAAAGTTTCTAATTGAAATTCCGCTAAAATTGCGCAAACAACTAACTTTCAATTATCTTAACTTTTACTAAGCGCTTCTGACTGCACATGCGCAAGTGAATGTGCGACCAATGCACATAATGCACAGAGGCAGTGCAAAACTAATCTAGAACTAATGAAAAACTAACTTCATTTTTAATTTGGTGCGGTTTTCTTCCAATTCATTTAACTGTATGGCAAGTTTTCTGCTTTCTTTCATTTGCTATCTATACAGGGTTTATACATTTCCAGAGTAATTTTCGGCGTAATGACGAGATATATTTCTAGCATTCAGCTGCGCGTGCGTTTGTTTGTAGCAGCAGCAGCAGCGAGCGAAATTGTTTTCTAACGGAAAAACGAAATTGTTTCCTGTGCACTTAATTTCGGTGCGCCGCACGCCTCGAATTTTACGGTTTCGTTTTAAATTTAGAAAGCATACTATGTATGATATCACATAACCTCACTCGTAAACTGCAACGCGTTACTAATAGCTGTGATTACCTACGAGCAAAATGCGAGCAATAACTTGGAACGCAACAATCGCTCCGACAATAACAATATAACTTTAAATTGCTATTATTGCTATAACTATTACTTTTTTCTATATTAAATTTAACTTTGCATTTGGTTTGCGAATAATTCGCAAGAATCTCCATACGCGGACGTGTTTAGAAAGTAAAGGTTATTTAAAACCTTGCGCAGCGTTAATAGAATTATTTTTTTTATGTTTCAAACATTTACATTCAAAGCGTCTCGAGAACAAACGCTGAAAGATTTTTACGCATTGTCTTTAGCAGCGTATTTCTTCGCCCGTTTACGGCGCGTTTGCAATTTTCATTTTTCGTAATTTTGCTTGCATTACCATTGCGTTATTAACTTATTTACGATTTGCAATCGTGCAATCAAGCCTTTAGGCGAACATGATTTTATTAACTCGCGCGTCATATTTCATTATAATCTGGGTAATTATTTTAATGTTACACCGCGCATAGTAATGCGTTATCTTTTTGTCACGTCCGATTATGTTTACTGCGCTTGCGCTACTGCGTTAACACCGCAGCGACCAATGAGAACACGGAAAGTAGGCGGAGCACTTGCACATTTTTATCACATAAAATTCATTACCGTAGTGAAAATAGTGATTTTTAAGCGAATATTCGTAAAATTTTGCTTTTACACCTCGTAAAATCATCTCGACACAAACGTAAAATATAATTAACATGTTTTCATTATGATTACTAATGATTAGAGTCGAGCGCGCGCGCACGCTCGGCAATAAACCATAATAGTCGCAATAAACAAAAGTGTTTTTTCCGTAGTTATATGTGTATGTGTGTGTTGAGTGTCGGATGCAATTGCGAGGTGAAAACACAGTGCACGCTGCACAAGGATCGTAATTGACGTTTGCAATTTCGATCGCAGTTGCAATCGCAGCGGACGCGTTCGAAAGTGTAATAATTGCGTTTCACCGATTCATTTGCAAACGGCGAGACGCAGGAGTCGCGTCTTTTGCAATTGCAATTATTCTACGATCGTCTATCTTTATCACACCGTCATTCTCGGTTTCGTACCACATAAATAACTCACAAATTACAGGCCTATGCACAACACAGCACAACATTTTTGAAAAACATCTCACAAGTGGTAATAAAACGAGAAATTAAACGAAAATAAGGAAGCGATAAAAGTGTTGCGTCGAAATTATTTTGATTGACGCATTGACACATTAATTCTTCGCGCTTGTGTAACGCAACATATAATTTTATTATTATAAGTTAAGCAGGAGTTTAAAATTTTATCAAAAAGCATGCATCTCTCTTCGGTCTAGTTCAGTTTAGTTCTGCTTGTTTTGTGTCGTGCCGTTAGTTTAGTTCTAAATTTTGAACGCGGCCGTATTAGGAGATTATTCGACGCTGATTGCAGGAATTACCCGAATGCGCGCTCACATGCTCACATGTCGAAATGTTGAAAATTTTACATGCACCATAACTTGGCTTTTAATATCGCACGTCGCGCAATTTTCTTCACGCTCATCGAGCGTTAAATCGTGCTCACTTAACATTTCTCAACTTGTTTTAAGAACTAGATGTACATGAAGTACTTACTTAGCTGCCATAGCTATATTATGATCGGAATTTGTGAGGGTTATCATGCGGTCATACAATTTCATTAAAAAAGAAACTTTCTGCGCATGCGTAAGCGTCTGATGCAAGATGCAAGTGGGCGGAGCAAAATACTCAAAATAAAGCTTAATTTAATTTTTAAAAAAGCATAACAAATAAGAATATTACACTTTTATAATGAGTATGTGTACTGCGCATGCTCGTCATGCTCAGTTATAACATTGTTAACGTTTTACATTGTATATGCGTGTGAAATTCATTTTTTACATAATTTCAACATGAGTTTAAGCAGAAACAGCAGGAGAAAGAATTAGAATTTTTTTCGGTTGGAATTTCTTCTACTTAATTTTGATGCTCGTCTAAACAGTAAAAAAAATTAATAAGACTGGTCTGGTGAAGATGTTATCCGTCATCTTACATGTGAATTATGTTGTTTTCTCGTCTTTGTTACATTTTTTAACAAACATTATATCATTACAAATTGGCTAAATTCGAGTATATTATATTGTAGCAATTTTATAGAAATGATTGTTAATAATTTAAGTCATGTTAAATCATTGTTTTATGTTTTGTTTGGTTTCTATCGAGTTAAATGCGTTTTTAATACGTGACAATTTGTGATTCGTGCGTTGTTGTCGATATGCGTGTGTACGAAAAATTCTCGGTAAGCTCGTGGGCATTTCGGACATGATCGCGTTTTTCGTTTTAATTTCGTGCGGTAATTTCTTTCTCGTCGGCCTGTGCTTGTTTGGCGTGTTATTTATGTGCGTATGCTGTTTCGATTTGTCGGGTACTCTTGTTGTGTTACTCAACACGACAGCCAAACAAACGCGCCATGAATTATTAAAATACATTTTGCTGGAAATGGACTCCAATATTTACTATCAACGCTTACAACACAGCAAAAATCGAACGATCTATATAATTTTAAATGTTTTATTTGTTTCTTTCAGGTCCTACACAAAGACATCGAGAATCACGGTAAAATTGTCAATTCTATTGTGAAGCTTTGTGAGAGGACACCGAATTGTTCACTGAGTAATGTGACTGCTCTGGAACGACGCTGGCACCTTTTGTTTCTACGGTCTATGGAATGGCAGTGCTACATCGAGACGTACATTCGACGCAGGGTAAGTGTTTGTAACTACTAGGCATGCGCAATGGAATAATGGGCGGAGCAAATTGTTGTTTCACTTGCACTGTCACAATGAGTAATGATCCGTTCAGGTTTATTACGTTTGTAATGCCAACTGGTAACATTTGTAATGTTTATCATCGGTGATGAATGTTTGCGACACTGATTCACAACGTTTCAACAGTTGGCGACGGAATTGTTGATGGTTTCATTGCATCTTGCGACAATCGCGATCCTCATGACAACAAATCACGATTCTGTCATTTGCGATGCACGGAGCGTGACCAAAGTATCGACAAATATAGATACAAATCAAGGCAGAGAATCGGAAATCTGCATATTTTTGTATGTTACGTTATTGTTGATATGACGTTACATAGTTGATGGTTACTCTTGTCTAGGAATCGTGTTGGTCGTGGTCTTGTCATGGCTTGAGATTTGGGCTCATTACTTATTGATGTCACTGCATGGCCTTTGGCGTGGTCTGCTCCGAGAAGTCAGTCATCAAACTCTTCAAAAGTGCTCGTCTCGTGATGAATCGAACTGAACTGAAATGAACTTATAAAGTTTTGAGTTCAACTGCCTAGCGGCTATACTATTATCAACTTTGGTTGTTTTTTTGCGCTATCGCGCATGCGTACTACACGTTTTTCTTCGTTTCTGAAATTTTTCTCTGCAACTGGCAGTTTGATGCCAATTTGAATACGCATTGAGGAATCGTGTCCTGTCAATGCGCTCGAGATTTACAATCGATTGTTATCCACCGCGGTCTTGCTGTAATTCGCAGTTATTGCACCGTTGTACGGCTTCTCATCACACGTTTGTTTGTTGTTAACGGCCCGATAGGAGAAGTAGGCAGCCGCGGACGGGCTTCATCCGTCTCGCGTGTAATTATTTAATAATTACACGAATATTTGTGCCAATAACAAATCGACTGGCCGCGCACATATCGCATTTACCGGTAACGCGTTGAGAGTGAACACGTTCGCGGTGGTTAACGGTGCTTCTAGTTACCGCACCTTCACAGAATCTCAGCAGAAACAACGATTTGAGATGGTGGCGTGCCTCTGGAGAACGCATTGTGTGGAAAGTCTAATCTCAAGCGCGCTAATTGCATGTAGGCATAGTGTAATGCATTTTTAAGCTGATCATCCAAACTGTATTACTGCGCATGCGCGATTTTTACACAACCAATCACAGTGATCATCACATTTAAATAAAACTTTATTTTTAGATGTTTTTTGGTCATTATTTCACAATCTATCATAATTATTCCCGCTAATTTTTGGTGTGCAAGCGATACCGGTCTAAATTTCACGTAAGATATGCATCTCTTAATTAGAAAGGAACGAGTGAGTAGCCACGAACACGCGCTAGGTTTTTTTCGTGTAGCTGTTAATTTTATCCCACTTTAACGCGACCAAATCATCAAAATATTACACAATACGCACCGCTGCGATGATTATTAGGTCGACCGTTGGATTATCTCGAAATGTATCGCAAATTAAAATCTTAATCGAATTGAACCTACTTCGAGGAAATTAAATTACCGATGGATTTATTGATCCTCAACGAAACATTGTGTCAACTTTCTTTGAGGATATATTTTGCATTTTCAATTTTCAATTTGTGATTGATAATTTACAATTTGTTGCCTGTAAATTTACATATTACACGGTGCACGTTTCTCATATCTCTCGCAATATCAAAGCGCGTGCTTTGAAACTGCGAATATAATACGCAAATCGACTTGCGAGTATGCGGAATAAATTAAATAAATTAATTGTTATCGCCTGACGGACGTGCTGTCACGCCGCATGGACATCTTTGACGGTGAAACAAACGCTGGAGTTTGTGAAACGTTTAAACAAATGTTAATATGTTAAACCAAACATTTGTGCAAAACTTTTACTTTGGCGTAAAACATATTTCATTCCCACGATAATCACATTCGAATGAAATGTAAATCACGCAACAATAATTCATATTAATTGTTGCACAATTAATTAAAAAGTAAAAGTGAGTGATCTCAGGTAATAATTATTAGTAAGTGAAGCATATGACTAGATTTATGAATTGACTTATTAATATTATGTTGAAGTAGATTGGCCTTCAAGTGTTTACGTTTAGTTTTTACGCGGAATTTCTTTGTTGTGGAAATCAAAGTTCAAGTGCTCACATGCAATTCTCGATAATGACCTAAATCATCCACTTAACGAATTTAATCAACAGATAAGTTTTGGTATGTTCCGATTGACTACCGATTGATGACGTGGTTTTGCAAATAATTTTATTTTGATTTTTGCCTTCTCGTAGATTTAAAATATCTTGTTGTAACTTTGAGAACTTAATACTTTTGACAGATGCTTGACAAGTTTAATATAAATGCAAATATTTCTATTAACTTTACAACCAAATAAATGTCGAAATTTCACTTTATTTCAATAAAACAATCTGAAAAAGTATTTTTGGGTTACATTCAATTCTTTAATTAAATCAGCTTTATTTTCGTTTGTAACGTGATGACTTTGACATTGATTTGATTTTTTCTCTTTATTTCTGTAGAATTGGAAGTTAATTGAATATTCAAATCTAATCTGATATCTCTTGGCAATATCGCTTAAAAGGTATAGATACACTACTGTTAACTGTTATTTATTCATGAGATTTTATCAATCCATTCGGTGTCATTTGCCATGTCCGACAACACTCTAAAAGTGCTTCGAGTTCTCCAAAATTCCGGAAGGTCTCAACCTCTCAAGCGAAACGCATCTGATCAATAAATTACATTACATATTCATCACATTTCATGAATAACATTTCCCACTTCAATCAATAACTACCTAAAAATAATATTTTATAACTTGATTAAATCAAAAACTCAAAAATTTCACTTTCTCATGAATGCCTATAAATTTTTTACGCCATTAACCTATTTAAAAATAAAGAATAAAGCGTTGTTTGATTTATATATTGAATATGTGAAGTTCGAGTGAATAGAAAAGTGTAGAATGAACAAAAGCATGTTCGGATGTTATGAGTTCACATGTTACATGATTAAACACACCTAAACTTAAATATTACGTACGCGTATATCAAACAATCAGAAACACGCATCATCGTTGATATTCATCCAATACTCAAAAAACAGTGATTCTCGTGAATGTGAACTAACTGCTAGTTTGTGCATTGTTGAAACACGCCGACACAAATGGAATATTTTCGGGGGAAGCAAAGAGCGGCAATGCATAGGCTATAATTACGCGTAATAGAAGCTTTTTGAGGCAGGAGCTTTGAGTGTGCAGCATATTTAATGAATGTTTTTCGGTCAGCGCCATATGTTCCGTGTGTGGATGTTGATAGGAAATTAACGAAAACAACGTTTAGGAGTAGGCGAGTAGGCCAAAAACGACCACCGTGATAGACACCTTAAGAAATATAGTCAGCAGGATCAATAATTCATAAATATTGATTTAATATTTTAATTTCTTTTGTTTTACGCAACTTTTCAAACGAAAAAGTTTGATTTTTTTGTTTCTTTGTCTCTAAACATACAAAAACAGTATGAATTGTTTGATTAATGTCTCCACTGGTCATAAACATTAAATAATTATGAGCATTCGAAATTATGTAACACCTTTCTTTGATTATACGTGCCCCCTCATTCACCACTCAACTTTACCTGAACATTTGTAGATTTCTCGATACATTTGTGCCTTGTGTGTTTCATTATTTTCCATTCGTTGCGTTTGGAGTTCGCTCACCCTTCGACTTCAACATTCGACGTTTCAAGCAAGCGTTCGTTACCAATTGTTTTCATTTGTTTCCACGTCTCCCCCAGCTGTGGCAAATTCTTCCTTCGACCAACGATAAGTTAATATGTTGTGTTGCGCCAGGAACACATGTACAGAAGAGAAAAAATAATATAATTTGCTTCCGGCCTCATGTTTGCAGGAGGCCAGCGGTCGTCGCAATAATGTATTTTCTATTTTCATGCACAATGCATCGAGTACCAGTACGAGTAGGTATTTCTACTTTTGTTCCAACATTACCAGTATTTCTCTGTATGTGTGTGTGTTTGCTGAAGAGAGTTGGGCACGTGCACATAATTGCGGGATTATGATATAAAAAAACGAGGAAACGTGTGCGGGGACAACCCTCACAATAAATTTATGTATGAGTTTTTAATTTCTATTGAAGTATCACAGGAAATAATGAGCGGAAATGCCGGAAATTAAACGTAAAACGAAATATTTTACACACATTTACATAATTCACAAGAACTCGCAGATAATAGGTCTTAAAATCCGATATTTTGACAATGTGCAAAGTATATTCTTCTGCTTATTCTTCTCATATCTTACTTTGCAGGCGGTGTTTTATTTTTCTCTTTACCTGGTAGATTTTACTATGGTTCCACCTTTCGAGTTTGCTGCGTTGTATAAGTGCCATGAAGCATGAAGCGGCGTAGCAATACAATGATGGCAATAGACGTTGTCGTCGTCTGGTGGCCGTGCCCTAAAGGTGCACCTTCTTGGGTTTATTTTCAAGTTAACACCTTGCGTCTGGTGCGCACTTCGTGCACCGGTAACCGTCGGCCAATGGTCAGTGGGCGCGCACGAGCCCATCCAACTGCCTGTAAAATATTTTTGAGGTTTTTTAAACCTCGAAAGGGCATCGTTTTCTTTTTGGAGTTTTTATTCACTGTATCTACTTGGGTATAACCGTACGCAGGTATATTTAACAAGATAGTGGTTTGATTTTTTATTATTTTTATGGGGGGGTTTATTTTGTGGTAGATTTATTAAAACCAGAGGATTTAAATTTAAATAAGTCGTAAAATTGGTATAATATCTGTTTATTATGTAAAATTGTGATTTTCTTACTCAGAAATAAATTCTACTTGCAACTGTGCAAATATATTGGTGATTAGATTACTGTTTAAAACGTTATAAACATTTAAAAGTTGAGATTACTAGGAAAATCATAAAATGTACACTACTTTCTTTTAATTTTTGATCGAAAACTAACAATGATAAGGTTATGATTTTGCACAGATCGACGCAGAAATATATTCTACATTCATCTGTATAAAAATATGGTTAATCAAGCTACGGCTTAAAACGTTATAAACAATTAAAATTGTATTTTGTATACAAAATCACCAAAAACGACAGAAAATTGTCTATAACTTCCGTAAAGACATATTTATTTTCGATGTTTATATTTTATGTGAAACAGAATTTAATTCTGAATGGATCATAAAAGAAATAATTAAATTATCTCTATTAGTTTTCGAATAATTGCCAAAAAACTGTGACAATTGCAATATTCTCGTAAGAAAGCAATATTGTGACTTCAACATGTCGAAAATATCGCTGGTGAGTGATAATTTGAACAGATATCGAAATTTATCGCGTCTGATATTCGAGTTTGTGAGCCCACACGTCGATTGTTGCGCATGCCGTCCGTAGACGTGTCGGTGCGAAACTTTGCGTGCGATTTGGCTCGTCGGCCGTGGCCGACAGTGACGCGCGTTTTACCTGTGCATACACACAACCGTCGTCGTCGCGCGTTCTCGTTAGGTAGGTAGACGTAAATTTACGTCTCCACAGCTACAACGCGCGACTTCCAACTCCACTGCCGCGGTCGTGTTCAGTACGTATATCCACTTCCAAGTTCTCAACTCAACTCGTTCGTCGGTCGGGCCGTTCGGTGTGCGCTGTGTCGTCAGTTGTGAGTCAGTCAGTGCTCAGGTAAACGTGCCGTGCAGCGGGCGCGACTTTCAACAATTCACCGTGTATCTATATACGCTCAGTATTGTTTGACTTGCGGGAGTGCACTCTGTGAGTGTTGAGGGTTTATGTTGTTGGTGGTGCGCGCATTAGTGCAAATTTCCAACATGTGCGGCGCGAAAGTGGTGCGTTATCAAACGCGCTTTATTCGCCAAAATAGTGGATGAAATTTGAAATTTTCGGTTGTGTGGATACAATTCCGAGTTTTTCTTACAACATGGAGGCTTAAATTAAGCACAGGAATAAAATGATCTCAATTTGAAGTGTGAGTGCTGTTTTGCAATTAATTAATGTATCTGGATCATAAATAATTTAATTTTTGCCATTTTAAAAACCAGTTCTTTGAATTTTAAAAAAGAAAAAATTGTTGCGGTATAATTAACTAATTTTTATAAATACAACTTTTATTCTTTTTTAATTACTAACGTCAGCTGTATTGCACAGACTTTTAAGTTTTTTTTCTGTCATCGTCATCGCAAGCGATGAAAAGATGCTCTTCATGCGTGTATTCAACACGCGCTGCTTGTTTTGCTCGTTTTGCACATTTCGTCCGGTTTTTTGCTTGCGTTTAAAGACCCGCAAGTTGTGCGTGCGCTCAACAGAAGCCGCTTCTTGAATCTTCAATATCTCTTCAGCGGTATTAAATTCAAGATGAAATACGGTTAAAATATGCAAATGTATGATTTATGCCACAAAAATTACTCTAATTGAATGTCGGATGATTCAATCGATGATAATTACATCGAAAATAACTTGCGTCGACATTGGGGGACACTGTTTATGTCTCCGTTTGGCTCGCTGCCGATGATTACATGACAATAAAAAATATTCTAACAAAAGCCCGCATTGTCGACGCGGCCGAGCGCGGAAAATGCGCGCGCGCGACGTTCGGTAGTAATCATGAAATTCATGGGCATAAATTACGCCTGCGCTTCCTCGAACCGGTCGCTTCGATAAAATATACGCAGCAAGCAATCCGGCGATGATCGGGTTTTTATCAGTACGCCGATAATGCAAGTAATTTCGACTCAACTCGACGCACCCATTCATATTACACATTGTATCTTGTTGTTGCATTACGTTATTATATTATCTTTTATCTTTTTATCATAAATGATTGCATTGTGTAATTCTGGTGGGTTTGTGAGCGTTTGTCGATTAGAATTCTGTTATGTGAGGTTGTTTTTGCTTCGTTTTTTGTTTGCGTAAAATGAGGAAAACCACTATGCGCCTGGAATGCTTTTGTGTTGTTGTTGTTGTGATGTTGTTTGATGCCCGCAGAGAGTGTAAATAAGTGCACTTCCCGGAATCATAGCCATCGACATCGCCAGCTCCAAGTTCACGCACAATTAATTTTTATTTGCGTCGTGTTTTACCTCCACTTTGCTTCAAATTTTTTGCTTGTTTTTGAGTTTAGGATTTGTGGTAAATCTTACATAAACTGTTAGTTTGCGCAACAAAAACGTTTCCTAGATAAATTTCGCGTTCGCGTTTTGGTATTTAATCTTCATGCTCGTATTTCCACGTCTCGTGGAAGTTGAGTTAGTTCTTCTCGTGTTGCCTGCCACGACATTGATAATATCATGCAGTTGTGAGGAATGACTGCTTCATTACGTTCCGCTTGTCTCGCATTGCACGGTCATGAAATGATAGAATATTATATTATGATTACATTCGTTAGTTGATTAAGCGAAAAATCGTGCGCGTCTCTTACATCTTGCTTTCGCCTCTGATCGCATGCAATAAAATGTTCTTTATTTACATTGCCGAGCACGTACGTCACGTGCTGATTGTAATTGTTCGCAATTGTTCTGTACAGAAAACGGTGAACTTTCTGCATTTCATATTTCGAATGAGAAATGCGCATACAATGATAAATCGGTGAAATTTGTTGCTTTAAATGAAAATACGAGTTTTGCTGTTGCAGCCAATCAAGATATCAGGTGAAATGGCCGTGTTTAAATGGAAATTGTTGATTTTAAGACGAGTTAACCTTTCCATTCTGATCTTTTCAAGTTTGCGCTTAATCTCAATATTTAGTTTGTGTCGTGATTCACTTGTTATTGAAAATAATTCGCAATTATTTATTTCGTACCCTCGAGCATTGCACTTGTTAGAAGTAAAGCAATCATGTTTGTTTCAAAATGCTTTCTTTGTTATAATATTAGCTTAATACATCCGACCAAGTTTGTGTTTTCTTTAACTTGTTTAAAATATGAACAGGAAAAAAGGAAAACGAAAGTACCCGCAAAACGGTACGGTTCAACCGACAAATCTACACGAGAGGCTCGTCTCTTGTCTTGTCTCGTGGTCTTTCGTCGGGATTAGAAAGTGTATTAAAACGCGTGTCAAAGCGATCGAATATGTTTCGTGTTTTGTATGCGCTTATGCGATGCAATTACCAATTTTCCACGCTGGTTACATGTCGTTCAAAAACCGCCGAAGCTGCCAGCATGTTTTTTTTTTCTTCGTTCATTTCTAGCGAGCGCGGTTTTGACGTCGTCGCTCGTCGCGGACTGTTGGATAGAAAAATTGATATTTTACATTCGGAATTTCGAAAATGAACACTTCGTTTTCAATTTCATTCAGCGCACATCAACGTAACAATGTGGGTTTTAAACAGAAATAGATTTTCGATGCGGCAATACGTCCATGACACGAAATTGAAAGAACTATAGTTCATTCATTCATTGATTCTTTTTGTTACAGAAAAAACATTGATATAATTAGAATTCCAATTTCAATTGTCGACAAAGAAAGTTTTCCTTTTTTTAAGTTTAACCTTCACATGCGTACAACTAAATTAACTTCACATCTAAAAATGTGATTTATATGTAATCCTATTAATATTCGTGTTAAATTTTTGAAACGCGTGTGAAAATGTTCAAATTTTATGTTTATCGTTAATCCCATGTTACTTTCTACATTTTTTCTTCTTGTCGTGTACTTTGCATAACGTGAGCAAATAGTAGTACGCTTTAAAAGTTTCACTATAGACCAGAGAGCCCAGTGAAACGCGTCGAAGTCTCTTTGAATAGCTGATTAATTGCCAATTAAACAAAAAGTTTAATTATGATTTAGCGATATTGAATGTATTGAGCGGTTGTTGAGGCCTACGTGCGCGCGTGAGCATGTCGAAACGCTAATTAATTTGTTACATAAAACATAAATATTGTTTATAAAGCGAGAGGCTTGTAATTTGTCGATTGTCTTTTGTGACTGGTTAATTATTTATTGTATTTTCGTTGTTTTAGAGCGCCGTGTTGCTGTCAGACAGTGATTCCGACGAGGGGCCAGTGAAGAAGCAGCCACGATTAACCAACAACGATGCGCAGGACGAAACATTGACTTCTGAAAAGGTAAATACATCAAAATTGATTTTTAACGGCTTTCGCCTGCTTGTCTCTGCGTTTTTGTTTGATGAATTCATTATTTTGACGAGTTTCGTAAATGTAAGGGCGTTTGAGGCGGTTTGTTGATGGATTGGTACCTTTTTGTTCGTGACACCTGCAAATTAGTCGTCAGAATCATTTTATTTTTCTATCGTACCAGTCTTCTTTTGCGCGTCTTTTTCGTTTACCGACCTCTAATAATCTAATCTACCGCGCATTCCGTGCGTGTTCGACGTTTTACGTTCCATTTCGGGGGCGAATAGAATAGAAACCGAGCAGTGGAATAATGAAACGTTGTTCCTTTTAGTCTAGTGTGTTGATATCGATGTCGGCCGGTCGAAAAAAGGTCATAATCATTGCGCGCGCTGGCGCACGATGTTATTTATAGGAATCAATAAAATTTTAGCTTATCAATACTGTATTATCACGGGTTCCATCGCGCACCTCATTGTAATATATTTTGTCGGTTGCTGATTGGTGATTGTGTTTTATCGGAGCGATTTCACCTTTATTTGTTTATTTTTCGCGCTTGAATTATTGCATTATGTGCCTTATAAATTGCAGAATGATCATGATATTGACGCCATCGACGGCCGCTGCAAACTGGACGACGAACTAAGCTTAAACCACGGAAACGCAATCATGAACGCTCTACAAAACGGAAACAACTACGTCGAGTGCGACTCTACCACCGCCATCGTTGTGCCAAGAACCAAGAAAAGTTCACAACAATTAGCCAAGTAAGATTATATCTATGACCCTACGTAATCTAATAAATTTTAACGCAAAATGTGTCTTCCAGAATCAAAAGCGCACGTAATTCAGGCACATACTACTTTAAACACATTGATACCGACTCCGACATGGAGAAACTCGACCATTTGCAAAACATTTCGCTTGATAACGACCAATACGCCGAACAGACTTCAGACGTCTCCGAAGAGGAGTGGACTTACACCACAATGACCAATAAACTGTCAGAAGACGATTCTGTACGTAACAATAACAAACTAGTCGACATCCGCCAAATTGTGCAGGAAGTCGAAGAACTTGTAAGTCCTCTGAATAGGCCTGCTACGGATAAGACGTCGATGAAAATGATGCGGATTAAACAATGGCTGGAGATCGACAAGTCGGAGGGACAGCAGGAAGACAGCTGTGATGCGAGCAGCGAGGACGATGCCAGTAGTACCGAAAGCTCCGAAGAACAGAATGAATCTATCGCGACGTATCGCGCACAGGCGTCACTCAATGCATCTTCGATTGATCTTGGCCATGCCGCATCCGCGATGTCTACTCCTAAGGTGGTATTGAGGCAAAAGTACGGTGTGCGGGGAATGAAGGATAAAAGGCCGAATTCTGTCTCGTGCATCACGCAGTTGTCTCAACAGAATGTAATGGAGCATGATGGTCAGACTGGATATTCCATTTCTGAATCCGCGTTGCACCAATTGCCTTTGGGAGGGAATCATTCTTCTTCGACTGTTGATGACAGCAGTGCGATGATTAACGACGAAACCAATTCGCCTATGAGGAGGAAGAGGTTTAAGTCCAAAAAGAAGAATAATGTAAGTCGTTTTACTTAATTTTAAAGTAATTTATATAACATTTTGGTGTTTCTTCTGATTTTAGATCAGGAAGTTTGAAATGTCCACCCCTTACAACGGTTCCTTCTGTCGTGAGCGAACTGGTACCCTAGTAAAGTCTGGTTCGTTCTCAGGACGATTGGCTTGCAAGCAAACGACATCTGATAGGCACACGGCGAGTGATCCTTCATCACATCCCATTGGTCACGGTGGGTTTGAAACCTCGACGACGAGCGGTGCTGATAGTGATGATGATAAACGCATACGAAGGTAAGTTGCATATTAAGATGCGAATTGGCCAGTGCTGATTTTCTACGGTTTTCTTGTGTTTTCCGTCCAGAGTGCCGTTATTTAAAGTCGGCAGCGTTGTGCGGCCTCTGCGGGACATCCGTGATGAGAGTCCGGGTCAGTTTACCAATGAAGAGCCGTTGAGTTCGTTGTGCGAAGATGCTTGGGATAATTACCAGGTAAAACATTTAATTGCTTTGATTTTATTGATTTGATTATGATGTTTTTTTTCGGCTTTGCAGGAAAAATATTCGTCCGAAGCTTATAGTGAAGCTCATGATTCGGATGCTGCGCGGCGGTTGTTGGACTTTGGCGAAGATTATCGCAACTTTTTGGGTAGTCAATCTGACTGGTCGGCGCAGTCCAGCCAGTTCGAGTTTTCACCTCAATTTCCTCGCAAGGCATACATCCCAATGAGCGGCATTGATTCGGATAGTGAAGCCAGCAGTCTTCGACAGCTTCTGAAGGATTCTAGGAGTCAACTGGCCTATACTGAAAACATGTTTGAACAACAGCGAGAATTGGGACGTAATCAGTTCCTGGTTAACAACGACATGGTAAGAATAGTCGAAAACTTTATAAAAGAATAATTTTTTGCTAATTTTTTCTTTTTATTTTTCCAGGTGGAATTGAATGCGACATGTGACCGTCACATCAGCTGCCTGTCGCCGGTGGAAAAGTCCCCCGAGGAATATACGCTTTCCACCACGGATCGACGCGAGTTTTCAGGTAGGAGTTTGCTGCCTAAAGTATTTACCGATTTCTGGAGTATGCTCCTTGAGTTTTTGTACGACAAAGGCTGCTGTTTCTTTCGATATTGCCTTCGTAAAGTCGGCCTCGAGAAACGTTTCATTTCGAAAATTCATTGAGAGTATACTCACCCAGTAAAACATAAAAAAAGAACCAGTGCGTTGTGATGATTTGAATATAGTTCGGTTGCTAGTGTTTGAAAATCGCTTTTCGATGGGCTGTGATTCGTATCGATTACAATTTTACGTAAAACAAAGACTATACAACAAGACAACACAGTGCCTAACAATATTTTAAGTTACCTAGATTTTACTATAATACGAATTCAGTGTTGTGAGTTAAAACTGAAAAAGAGTAGAATTGCTTTTCAGTTTTATTTTGATTTTTTTGATAAGACTAATTCTAGTATTAGGTTTCTTGATCTTGAATTTTTTTTGTTGTTGTTTATTTTGGGGGAGGAAATGTTGGAACTCTATGTTGAACGAAGTAGTACATGTTTTATTTAGTTCTGGAATGAATGTAACAACGCCATTGTTCAATATTTATTTTATTTTATGATTTTTTTATAAGTTTATTATTTCTGACTGCATAATTAATGTAACAGCATGAATATGATTTGCATTAAAATGCTTGATGCTTTGTAAATTCGGGCTTCCAGTTATTTTTGCCTTTGTTCCAAATTCCGTTCCTGTTGTGGTCGATATATCGGTGTTGATCAGTGGCAATTGTTGATACATTAGAATGTGCAAGTGTGAGTTTGGTGAGTATACAAGTTCAATTTGCGAAACAAAGCGACTCGCCATTTTTCTCATGTTTAATTTGAACAGAACCAAAAAAAACGTTCATTGCTTTAGTAGCTTTGGGCTTTAATATAGCATAGAGAAGTACAACAAAACAATCTGAAAGAAAGTTAATGAATAAAACTTCATCCTTAATTGTCTCCTGCTTTTACTAACAACGTGGTGACTTTGGTGGCTTTAACGGAAACTTTAAATATGTAAACAAGTAAAAACTAAACTGCGGTTGGTGGTTCTTGGTGCGTGCAAATGGTGCAGGAATCGTATGAGAGTAGTTGCTAGGATGTACTAATATTTGTCTCCGTTGCAGATCTCATCTCAAGGTGGCAAAGCTTGAAGAGCCGCATCAGCACAATGCAGGAGTATCGCAATCTACAAAATGAAATTCTTCAAGTCAAGCGCACATTACTCGCCGTGCAAATACCAAATAGCATCGAGAGCGTCACAGTCAACACGTTGGAAGATCTTAGTAGAGATATTGATTTCTACAACGTAAGTGTTTACCTTTTAATTTATTTATTTAATTCCTTATATATCATACATTTGAATTGGAGTACAGATTTCGTTTTGTTGATGGCAACGAAACCTGTAATTTGTTGGCGGAATGTAGCTTTCGTTACTTTCCGTTAGGTGACGCGGAGGATTGGTACTTTCGCTAATTCTGCCTAGATGTCGCACTGTGTTCAGTTTTCAAAATATTTTCTCATTTCGTTCTGATATTTAAATTTTGGGGAAATGAAATTTAGCATATTAAAAAAAGGGAAATTTGTGGTCAATCCTAAACTAGCGTTCACTATTCAAAAGATTCGTTCATAATAATTATTCACACTTTTCATTGTTTTTCCGTGGTACAATCCACAATTCGGCGAATATCCAGATCAGTTGGTTGTAATGTAATGTCGGAAAAGTAACGATTTTTTGCGCATCGCGTAAAATATAAAAAAGAAAACGAAAGAAACGCCTGGCGGCGGCGGCGTGTGCGATATTTTCCGAGTTGGAAACGACGATAAAAGCGTACCCGTGTCGAGCTGCCGCGCAGCTCTCGGGCCGGGTACGTGACCAGACTCCCGAAGTCGCCATCAGCGCGCGCCGGGACGCGCCAACCACGTCCAAGTCTTAATCTTGGGCCGGAGCGCGAGCACTGGGTGCAAATATTTTCCCGGCCGACGGTGGCAATCGATATCGATTCGCCGCTGCTTCAATAAAAAAAACAAGAACGGAAATAACACTACCTGGAAGAAAGCTTCTTTAGTATAGATAGTTTTACAGTAGTCGTACTGTCGAAAATATTCGAATAGATTTTCAATTGTTGAGTTTCTGTTGATGCTGCTGATGTGTACTCTCTGGCGAGAGTGTACGTGTTCATGCGCTCCGAAGGGGGTGCGTTTGTCATTGGTATGCTGGATGGCTGTGCCCACCGTGCAGACACGCGTGTACACGTGCGAGCGTAACACGTAGCTCCTAATTCGATTTGCAATCAACAGCCAATCAATCGATTTGAATTTTTTTGCATTTTTCACTGAATCACTCGCGACTTGCAATGCACATTGCATTATTTTACTTTGTGTACATTGGTGAAAAACGCAAATTACATTAATTATTTTTGTTTGTACTTAATGTGTGTCCTTTGTCGCTACTGCGAGGATTCAGCAGCATCTTCATGTTGGTTTTTTGCGGGTCGGCGGTACACACGTAACGTTTACGTGCGTGTACCGAGCGTTGTACATTTTATAGTAGCGCAAAAAAAAACGGCGCGTCTCGTGCAAGTCGTCCTGGTCCCTGTCCGTAGTCCATCGCCGGCCGGCAGTAAACTTGAGTAATTTATACATATACGGTCATCAATGTCGTCCGGCGACGATATACGACTCCTCGCGTCTTCGCATGCGACCGTCATGGGAGGGTCGCGCTCCTTTGGGAACATCTCGATTACTTCGTGTCCAAAACGCCTCACATTGCTCAAACTCATGCTGGGTCGCAAGGACATGCAAGTTCTTTCTCCACTTTATTTTTTTTTTTCTGCACCAAAAACTTCCGATCTAATTTTGATAATGGTTGCTTTTGAATATGGGTAATTAATGATCAATATGTCTACAAAATCGATAGCGATGTTTTGACACGCTGCGTTCAGTAAACATGCTAAGATATTTATCTTGGTTTGATTGATACGCGCGCAATGATGATTCGAGTTGACGTGCACTGTAACATTTAAGTTAATCATTTAAGCGGCGGGCAGTCTTGTCGATAAATGATTTTCGTGCGCCGGCACATCGGGCTCAAAGCCGGTGTGTTTGACTGCTGTAATTCGTACCTCTGCTGAGCATGCCTTGACCATGTTCTTTTTTTCGCAGGCCGAGCTCGCCAACATCGAGGAGCACAAAAAGAAGCTGCTTAAAGTGAACGTGGCCGTTAACCACTTTACGACCGAGCATGCCGACTACGCCGCTTCCTCGCTCAAAGCCGACGTGTCGGAGCTCTATCGCATATGCTACGAAATCAAGAATAGGTGAGTGCCCTCTTCGATTATGTTTGATCATTTCATCGCGCCGCGATTTGGAATGTTTCCTGTGCCGGTAAATTTAATGTTGACAAACCTCCGGGTTGTTTGTAATGCGACATTTTGAATGCGCGTCAGAACTCACAACGCAAATATAAAACATTGTTGTATTTTTGAATATTTAATCAACTAATAGAAAACATTCCAAATCATTTCTACGATATAAACGGTTTGTTGTCCAAAATGTAATTTTTTTGATTTAAATATTTTTCTACCACTGCTGTGTTTTATGCATCCGTGCATGTTCATAATAAAATATAAAATAATTTGGAATCACACCACGTTGCGCTATGTGGGTGCAGCTGTCGTCGAATACTTTTATTATTCGACTGTTTTGAATACAAATCATGTGTTAATACATAATCATGAATGTGGTTTTCATGTGAAAATGTTTCCTCCTGACCACCGTTCCGTTGATTTAAACTAACGTTGTTTATAAATTCTGTTTTGTAGTGCATCTGATCGAGTGACGCGGCTGAACGTCCTGCTGCAAAACTGGCAGATGCTCGAAACACGCCTAGACCAACTTCGGGGAGATCTGCGCGACGATGAGCAGAGTTTGGGTGCCTTGGACATTGCCTTACAGGGTGGTCAGTTCAACAATCAAATGGTAACTTCGGCAAGGGTTGCTAAATTGCTATCTGAAGCGAAATCGGATGTAAGTTTTGAACATTTTTCTTCTTGAGTTTTTGTTTTCCATTTTGTTGGTGGTTGATTGATTTTCCTATTGTCTATGAAACGCGTTTCCCATCGTACTGCGAACGTTCCGAGCAGTTTCGGGGTCGTTTCTGCTCCGGGAGCAGCAAGCGCGTATGTTCCCGATCGTTAATAGCCGACCGTGCTTGGGTTTTCTGGTCACGTCCCGAGACACGAACGTTCTACGGGTTCCACGGAATCAACGTAAAAATACAAATTTAATATCGCATCACACGCTGCAACACCGTTGCTGGCTACCAACGCCATTGTGGAATCGTAGGTGGTGCCGGATCGCACAGATTACGACAAATAGAAACAAAAGCGGAAGAAGTTATTATTGGATTAAGCGCTAAATTTTTCAGCCACGTGTGCTGCGGCACACCACAATTTGCCGAGTATGTAAATTTTTAATTGGAATCGTACTGGTTTCAGCGTGCAATTCAGTTTGCACTTTACTTGTATGTATGTGGGTGTTTTTTTTCCTGGATTCGAATGGAATTTATTCTTCGTTGATTCGTTCACAACTCGCAATGTGGCGTAATATGAAATTCGGCATTATTTCGGCTCTGGTACAAAGGATTGAGCGCGGGAGTGAAGCTCGCGTCGGCTTCCTGCTAGCAGACATTTCGCCTCGTCAAGAACCTGCTTTGTATGCAGCGCGTCGCTTTTCATTACTACGGGCGCGCATCATTCCGAAGTGCCGGGAAAGAGTCGATACATATAGTTTGCACTCCAACTCTCAAACTCCTATAGCCTCCAACTCCCTTCCTGCTTCCCCTTTAGGACTTTGCAACATTCTATCTTTATTGAACTCTGTTTTTGACGTTTCCGGTGCCTTTTCCTTTGCAGGGCTGCACATTTTCGGAGATCCTCACCGAGGGCTCCTTCTCAGACAGCGGCATCTCCGACGAGGGCTCCGAGCACGATGTGGGTGAGCGTGAGCGGCGCTTGACGGCAATCCGTCGCCTGGTGCGACAACTGGAAGTGGTAATGGCGCCGGACAGCGATGCCAGGGTGCGAATGCGAGAACGTCTGGCGGCGGCGGAGGAAGAACTCCGCACGCTGCAACATAAGTGTCGATCCATTATAGTACGGACAGCGGTCTCTACAACCACACCTCTAAGGTAAGCACCAAAAAAACTTCGGAAACATTTGCAGGACATTATCGGACATTACAAAACATTAAGGAGCGTATTGGAAGCGTCTAGACTACTTCTCGCGAACGTTTTTGGCATCAGCCGCAGCCGAACGATGAAAACTATTAAATTAATTCAGTTGCTCAGTTTTTGTTGTTGCCTCCAAAGTGTTGTTACAAGTTTTGATGTGTTTCGATATGGCGTTCACCATTTGCGTCTTCGTCATTTGCAACTTTGTCCCGCGACTTAACAGTCACGAGGCTGTAAAAGGTGCGCATTAAAAGTTACACCATATTTTACACCTCGCGCTCGTGTTTGCTTTTTTTTTTTGTAACACTATTTTCTGAGAATGTGCGAGAGCAGGAACGAGTGATCGAGCAATTCTTGTGTCCGGTGTAGCAGATGAGAGAAGCGTGTTCGACAAGAAAAATGAAGCGCGCGTTTAGACTAATTTATTAAACGCAACACCCGCTGCGTTCATTTGATTAATCGATGCCGCGAAACTACGCGCAGCGAACTGCCATGTGCTACTATTAATTATTGCAGGCGTAGACAGTGTATCAAAACTTATTGGCCATTGGAATAATAGTAAATAATACTTCAAAATCGTAATTTTACCTGAAAAAATTTATATTTTTGATTGTCGGTGATGTGCAGTTAACATTACATTTTCATTATAATGACTTTCCTCGAAGTGCACTTCCCATAAATGTTTAAACCTCAGCACTCCCGAATGTTTGTAATGGTCGACCAAGGAGGACTAAAAGAATTAACGCGTGATTTGCTTCCCCTCTGTTGCAGCGATTCGGTGGTTGTGGCCGGTACTGGTGGCGACCCGGACGACTCGCCGCGCCCGTCTTCGTGGTTCAAACGCGTGATGCGTGCCTCAACCTCCTTCCAGATAGCCCTGCTGGCGCTACTTTTCCTCGCCTGCTGGCTGGAGCCTCATTGTTGCGACAACATGAACAATCTCAACCTATCGCTCAGTCCCCAACTTCACTACGTGCGAGGGCCACCGCCGATCTAAGCAGGCGCCCTATCAAGTGAAACATTAGTAGGTTTAGAATATACAATTAGCATTTTTTACATATTTTAAATGAAGTACGAGTGCGATTACTAGTTACTTCTATTTTAATTTTATACGAAGATATTTACTTTACTTACAAACAAACCAGGTTCCTTACGTGGCTATTTTATATTTAAATTAATATGTTTTAAACATATTTTATCGGGAGCGGTAAGTAACGCTCAGATTTAGTAACAGAGAGGCCATCAAAACGAAATATTTAACGATAGAAAACATTTTTAATGAAATTGCGTCGACAATTTTTAAATGTACATACATTTTACGATGATAGTATACACCGGGTGTAAATCAAAAGTGATTCTATTGGAATGTAACATTTCAAGCGTCAGAAAATCAAAATTTTAGTATGATTGATTTAATTTTTTGTTTGATATATAATTTGGTGCACTTTTTATTTATGCTCGGCTAATGAGATGCATTTTTACGATTAGATTTCAAATATTTTCGAAGCGAGTCATTGCGCATCACACACACGGAACAAGAATAATATATGTTGCTAAGCTTCTTGTGAATTGTGTATATTGATACAGTTGTAACATGTTGTTATAGTAGGCGAATGAAAAGTATTGTTTTAAGTACGTTTATGACAAACTAACCATAGAAGTAAACTTATCTTAAATTAAGAGAGTAAACGTTTACCCCTCGCGATTAGCATGAAAGATAGTATAGATGATGAAGGAGTATTTATTACGCATTATTTCTGTTAAAGTTTTATGTGAATTTAATGCATGCCACCCACCTTCGATTGCAACCTTGAAGTTTAAGCATTAGTCGATACCTTGCATGCAGTATATTATATATATTTTTGTTATGATTATGTTGGCATATTTTATTGTAATTTCCAATTTACATTCAAGTTGTTTTATATGTTGTCAGCTTCCCTTTAATGTATTTGAGGGAAGAGAATGTGTTCATTAACGTTTAGTTTTTTTTCTATATTTTAATTTCAAAATGTCGATTACGACAACAAATGAGCGGAAATTCGTGTACTTGAATTATGCACGCGTTAAATGTGCCTTTATGCGAACAGTTTTCTACTTTAAATAAGAGAGTACACGTTTTTTGATACTACAAATGATTATATTGCGCATTATTGCAACGCAATCTGCGTGCGTTTTCGTATGATACGGAAAGATTGCATTAGACGTCGAAGAAATAGAGTTATAAGAAGTAATGTAATGCCGAATATCTTGTGAGGTTTGATTTCAATTGTCTTAACTTAATATTTAACGTTTGCATGTTTACTTAATCTAAAGAATGTTCAGAGCCAGTTTTACGTTTTTGCATGCCTTAAGGTAGTATAGGCGTATTTTACTTGAATGACTAATTATGTTAACATTAATAGTTGAGAAGGTGGAAACTGTACATTTATTTTACATTTTGTGAAAATGAAAATTTTCCATCTTCTCTGCTGAACAATGTGAAAACGTTTAGATTATTTCATTAATACGAAGTTTCTTTCGACAGGTACGTTCATCTATCATGTACATGTATACATTGTTTGTAATGTTCTCTTTTTTATCTAGGAATGTAACAGAACATCTTTGTAAGAATGCCACGAGGCATATTTTATTTAAATAAAATATATTATTTAAAATCATCTTAATATTTTTTTATTTGCAACCCATAAATTTAACTTATATTATTAACACATTATTAAGTTTACATATTCTATATACATTTAAGGCTCCACATAACTTAAAGGAAACGCTTATTCATTTCAATATAAGGCTTCGTGGTATGACAGTAGATAAGACGGATCAGGGACACAGCATATTTGGATCTATGTCGATGGTGGTGTAGGTTCTCCCGCGCACCGTAGTTTTGACACGCTAAACATAACTTAAAGGAAACGCTTATTCATTTCTACATAAGGCTTCGTGGTATGACAGTTGATAAGACATATTTGGATCCATGTGGCTCCCGCGCACCGTAGTTTTCTAACTCTAAACATATAAGACCCCTACATATACCAATTGATAAGACAGCCAGGTGGCTCAGAAATATACAGTATGTGCTGGCATGCAAAGAATTCTCGGTTCGAATCCTAGCCTCAATCCGAGTTTTACTTAAAAATAAAATAATTTCTAGTTGTGTGGGTTACTCATCCACCATAATCAGAAATGAACCGGAGCTTGAAAGAAAGGAGGATATGGAAAGATGAGGAGTAGGAGGAAGCAGAGAAGGTGAAAAAGGAGAAGAGAACGTTTTTAATTTTTTGGCGGCGTATCGTTCTATGAAACAGTTTAAGCTGCTTCGAGTGCATCCATTGCTCCCGGCCCGACCTCCGGCTACGCTGCCACTACGCCTCAGCCAGGATACTCAACCACCTCAACAATTTTTATGGTGGGGCATCATCCCTGAGAGAGGGAACTCCTTATAAGGACTAGTAAAATATTGCGATGTTGTAAGGCGGCACTTGAAATATTTTTCAAATTCTTGCCTGACCCTGAAACAACAGAAGGGGTACACAAAGCACGAGTCATAAACTGTTGTAACATTTCTTTATTTAAACGATATATAATTTCCAACAAGTAAAATATTTATTAAACACATGCCGCCATTTTCAAGCAAGTCCTACAACTTGCAGAACCACTCATGCACTCATAGAACATAACAAAGGAAATAATAAATTACTTCAAGCTTTGACTGAATGGAAAGGAAAATTGATATACAGGGTGATATAAATAGGTAACTACTATTTAAAAAAATAAAGGGGAAGCAAGAAAACGCCAAAATGATATAACGGGAAAATTATATACCTACAGGGTGTTACAGAAAGAAAACACTTACAAATAAAAGAAGGAAACACAGGAAAACCTACACCCTGCCATATTTTGATTTTTCATTGTTATTCGGGGAAACTAATATACAGGGTGATACATTACAAAATAACAATTTAAAAAAGGAAATGCATAGTTCTTGCATTCTTTTATACCGGTTGTTTCAAAATAAAAACAACTAATATTTACACTTTTTTCGTTTGATATTACAGGGAACTTATCGACAAGGTTACAAACAGAGAATGATTTCACCAAAAAGTAAATCTAAAGTCCAAACAAAACACTCGACTAGGTCAAATGTCGAGTGTTTTTCAAATGATATCCTGGGTAATAATTAATATGGCAGAAAGAAAAGAAGGTAATAGTGTGGCGACAACCTCATACGTCAGTCGAAGCACCAAACCCGAAAAGGACGAACGAAATTCACATTTCACAAACATTTCACTATTAATACTAATACTAATACTTAATACAGTTTAAGAAGATGCCCTCAGGGCGAAACATGTCAACTCAAATATATAAATGTAAATCCAAAAATCACTTATAACTTTTAATAAATAAATATTTTTCAACTATACAAAACTGGATTACGTATTCAACATTGAAAGTAATAAAAAAATGAAGTAATAATACTAATCGATAGAACAACGCACACTTCAATTGTCAAGTGAAGACGTGAAGTTGGCGACAAGAAATATGAGGCAATCACTACTAACTTACCAGTATATCGAAAACACATGAGTAAAACCATACACTGTAACGAAAACAAGAACATGGCCATGATAAGAAATGACTTTCGATATTAAGAAATTAAAATGCTATAAAAGTATGCACTAATTGGCGATAAATCCTAATTCTAATTTGGCAATTGTGCTCGCGGACTTTAAATTAAGATGAAACGTTACTTTTAGTAATTCTTTAGGTACCATAATAATTATTGGAGTAACATAAGCTGGAGATGACCACCACAAACGCGCGCGAAAGATGTCTTAAATGATGAAATGTCTTTTATTTAATTCGCGTTTAGAACAACACTCCGCGCATGATAAATCATTAATACAATGCTAAACAAATATTATGCAATGTGCCGATTTTAAATGTAGAGAAACGTGGTCAGCACGAGATCGCGGCGTGTCAACTAACGAAAAAACGATAAGAACTGGACCGTATGCAGTGACGGACAGCGTGCGAGCGCTGCACTGTAGGGGTTGTGAATATCAAGGCTGCGATATTACAATACGAATATTACTGAATACAATATACAAAACTACAAACACTAAATAAACACATCATAATAGGAACATATAAAACATAGAAACCCAAAATACGATACTCGTGGAATGGAACAATAATGTTGGCATATTTCCTGATTTACGCAGCTGAATTATAAGAACATAAAACACGATTTTCTTCGCTTTCCTTTAAAATTTTGCACATGCAGCTTCCTATCAGCCAATAACGTCGTTTGAAACATGCTATCTGCATTTTAATGACATTGTACTGCACATTATAAGAATCGCAATGATAATTTTATAGTAAAACGTGAAGTGTGACTGTAATTGCGTTATTTTTGTGTTCGTCGACGATTACACTTGCAATCATCACAACCGCCACTCTTGGGCTCGCGCTCTCCGGTCCACCTGGCCGTTCTTCAATGCTGCGAGCGGACACAGCGCGTCGATGAGAGATGAATCGGACGCACATCTACCTTGTCATTATTCGATATTACGACACCCACTCGCGCGCACCGCACGGCATTCTTCTAATAATTGATTATTGTTGTTACCTCGTTTCTTCGCTAATGATATGCTTCTTTGTACGAATCGCGCCAGCGACATGCAAGCACCACGAGACCAACGCCAGTCAGAATTCAGTCAAACCGTCAGAGAGCTCGAAATGATATTCCAAGCTTTCATAATTTAGCAAAATTGAACATATACCTACACACTCACACATAAAGAAATATATTATGTATGTGGTTATTCGCATCAAAAATAATCCTGGTGTTAGAAATCGTCGATGTAATCATCGACAATTTGCCGAATGGATTATGCGTGATAATGACAAGTAAGAAATAGAAATTCGAACCCGTCGAGAAACTCGTTACGAAACAAGGGTAGTATGTAAGCAATTTTGTTTTGATTTCACGCCGCGGCAGAAAATGCCTCCGATTAAGTTCGGTTTGGTTTGGTTTAGTGTCGGGCTGACGCGCGACTCTCGCGAGAGCAATTCAATCAATGCGTCTAATTCGACGTGACGCGTTTTTATCCTCCCCGGATCGTTATAATAGTTTCCTAGCCGATCGGGATTCGAATTCGATAGGCATCTCGCGATGCCATGGCGGCGGCGTGCGCCGCTGTTCCGAGTAAAAGTGTAAAACAGCGCGCGCGCGATGTGTGCCCGCCATTATTTATGTGCGTCAACGACGCGACCGCAATAGACAAGACTGGATAATCGCATTTCTCGCAGGTAATACGTTACCCGAGTTAATTTGACGCTTGACTGGAATCGGCCGTTGTTTTACGCTTTTTTTCTCTTGCTTCTTCTTCGTCTTCTTCATGCTGATGGACCATCGACATCATCCGACGATCCAACGGTCTCGGAAGATGCGAGTTTGGACTCTTTTTTTACCTTCTCATTGCGGAGTGAATGCTCGAGCCTCGGTGTTCTCCAAGTTGGAAGCTGTGGTGGATCATCGATCGATACAGAAACTTCAATTAAAACCAGTTTGGATGTTTTGTCTGCTGTCGATCAACATCAAGTAGAATCTACTCGTCTGGCCGCAGTAACGAAAATCGGCACTTCGTTTAGTCTTCACTTTGAAATTCATCAACGGAAAGAAAATCCGAGAATTCTCGACATTTACATCTTCCATGTATTGTCACGCCGACGACAAAACGGTGCTTCGAAGCTCTTCGAACTTTAGAGCCTACGACTAGGAAGCATAATGCTACTGGTTGGATGTGCTGGATGCGTTGGGAGCATCCGGCGGGCGGCGAGGCACGTAGGAAGGTAGTTAGCATGCCGGTCGGGACGCCGGTACGCCACCGGCCTGCGGAATACGCGGACGAGCGCCGCATGTTAAACTTTCCTTCGGTGACTGACGACGAACGCGCGCGCCGGACTGTTTCCCTTCGCGACAGCGGCCGATACACAGCAGCAACGAAACAGAGCCGGTGTAGAAGACCAGCAACGAGAGCAAACCGCGTGCGGGCAAGGGTTGCGGTCGGCCGCGACCGACCCGTCGACCACTCTCCCGGTCGAAGCAATCGGTCTGCCACAGCCGCAGTTGCCGCCGCCACGCACGTACCACACGTCCAGCACGCAGTCTAGGTCAGAATAAAAAGGATGCGGAATGATTTTAGTGTAAGAATCCAGGCCAACGAAAATCAATTTTTTGATACTTCTATAAGGAAACACCAAGATGTTGTAAAACCCTTGCACGTTTCGATACTATCACAGAAAAATCTAAACACAAGGTAAACAGATTGTCATCAAGTGGTCCTCAAAATGCATTAGATATTAAATTAAAACAATTTCAACAACTTGAAGAAGAAGTCCTATCGATTTACAACATAATTACGAATTGGGAACACATCCATAGATATATTTCCAAATTCAAATCAAGAAATTGGAAGTTCGAAGTTAGTTCCAATTCGGTTCTTAGGCCGATCAAAACTTCGATTCGTAGAAAGTTTGGTGCTTGAGCACTGGGGCTGGTACTTTGCATTGGGACGTGACGCGGCGCAAACGCGCTTCCAACAGTAGTCGACTGCGTCGATCGAATTTTAATCGCATTTCTTACTGATTCGGCACGACAATGGCGTCGTAATTGCCGCCGGTCGCGCTCTCTAATTGCGACAGTTCGCATTGCACACATGTTGACCCTCCAATTCCCTCCGAACGCAGTATCCTCAACCACATCCAAACCCATTTATGCCATAATTCACAAGCGGTGCCGCTGAGTTCTTTATCAAACTCCAAAACCCAAAATAACATTAAACAAGCAGACTTTAATTTATCTCCGATCTTGTTTTTTGGCTTGTTAACTTGTTAAGCTTCTATTATCCGCCTACTGAAACCAAATTTCGGTAAAACTAGTGAGGAATAAAAAAACGAAGCTTAATTCCATCTTTCTTTTCTTTTCGCTGTAAAACGAACACGTCGTTAACAATGCAAGCGTAGAGATGGACAATGATGAGTCCACCAGGTAACGTTTTCGGTCTTATTTAGGACCCAAGCTAACAAAGTTGTGACCGTTGAAACGACGCATGTTTATGAATTAGGGGAGACTGGGTACGGTTGTGACAATTTGTGTTTGATTACCAATAATTTTGTTAATTTACCAGTTAGATCGTAGAAAAGTAACTTTTATGGTAATTTGTACATTTATCTATACAAGAATACTAAAATGTTGGCCCTAAATACGACGTATAACTAATAAGATAAATTTAAAAAAAAAAGTCAAATTGTCACAACCGGCCACACACCAAGGACGGTTGTGACAGTGGTTGGGTGCGGTTGTGACATGCAAAAACATACACTAAAATGGCCATTCTCTTGGCAAAAATCTAGTGCATTAATATGAATGTGAGAGGAATGATATTCCAGCAATAGAAAAACTTGATGTGTTAGAGAAGCATTCGAGAATTTCTTAAAATGTTCGAGAAATGTTAAGAATGACACATCCTGCATCTAATCTGAAGGATTTACAGTTCCAATTGATCCCACCGGTCCATCTCTAACAAAATGATCATGATAACGTACTCACGGGAATACAAAAAAGCAAAAAAACTGCAAAAAAGCATCTAGAAGCAAAAAAGAACAACTATAGTAATGTTACAACCGTACCCACAAAATTTGTCACAACCGTACCCGAACCTCTTTTTCGAAAACAAAAATTCGCCATGACTTTGTCGAATAATCTACGTAAAAAGCAAATGCTTATAAATAACTACCAATGTTCAATTTAAAAGAAACAAAAAACAGAAGTAATCTATCTGTATACAAACAACAATAATTATTAAGTGAAGCCGTACAAAAATATTTACTTTTGACTGTCAAAAAGCAATGTGGGCTCCTAGTTACGTTAACGTCGCGCAATGACTGATGCAATACTAGGGAAAGCGTTCAAATTTGCACCCCGCTTCTTTATCCTCTTGCACCCTCCCCCGTATGACGTATAGTTTCGTTATTATGACGACTGTCACTACCGTACCCTGGCACAACCGTACCCAGTCTCCCCTACCTACGACCGCATCATGTTTTTTTGTTTTGCCTTTTTCCTGCAATACCTGCGAGACCTGCAAGAATCATATAGCACTGGTGACTTCTCACGGAAGGCATCTTCAAAGCTCCGGCCCGAAGACGACAGGAAACGCCTTATCTTGATCAACCAACCAGAGGCAGGAGAGAAGCATGGCTCGTAAAGAATACGAACGTGCTACCAGCAAACAGGCGAAAGATTCATTCACTTTTCCAAAATATGAATCGACCAACAGCAACAACACAACAACCAGAAACAATCATTGAGAAGCACAACTCAACAATTCTTCCAAGTTACAATGTGAAAGAAGAAAAAGGATAGCAGGTGCGTGTGTGTACGTGTCCTGATTTTTTATGAGCGTGAAGACGTTGAGGAACTTTGTACTTTGTACCTTTTGTTCATCTTCATTCTGTTTTTTGATCACATGATCACGATATACGATAGAGTCATGTGAAGTACGGCGATTACAAAGTATGAACACATAGATAGTGGCGATAACGATAATTACCTCTTCTACGGCAGCAAAGCAAGCACTCAATTACCGAAGCAATTAATGCGTTCAGGCGCGATAAAATTTCTAAACGGCCTTAATTCGTCACGATCCGATCTGATATTCACGCCATTTAGCCGGCAGAGTGTGTTAAGTCGCCGGCGTCAATGTGGGGAATGCTAAAATTAAATTCATATTTAAATTGAGTAGACGCGTAGATATTTCAGCACTAGTGTTTATTAAACGCAATAAATCAGCTTAGTGTTTGGTGCAATTTATGGCTTGCATAATGTGGAACTTTATTTTAGAGGAAAAAATTCAAAATTTTAGTGATATGAAATGATAAATCAAATTTGATGACGCAATGCACTCGCATTAGAAACCAATTTGCGGGCATTCGAGTTTAGGGGAGCTGTGAAATGACCACACTACAAGGGTGAGGGTGAAACAAGCATAATTTAATGTGTCGTATCAGATTTCATACTTGTTTCAAAATTTTGACGACCCTTCTGACCACGATATAATTTTATTGTGGGCTATTAGTGGTTCTAATGGCTTTTGTAATATTTTTAATTAAAAATAGGTAGGATATATTCGAAAAATTGTAAAATTAACGTTTGAGGGGTGTGTTAATTAGAGTGAGTGTGAAATGTCGTGTCCAGACAACAACTGTTGCGTCACAATCGAGAAAAGGACACGAAAGGTTGAGAGGACGAAAGTCGGCAGAACGCCGCGAAGAACGCGCGCGCGACGCGCAAGCAAATAAGGCGCACACGTCGAGTGGGAGGCCGGAGGCGCCGGGGCGCCGCCCGCGCGGGCGTCACGTGACGCGCCCCCCGCGTTCCGGCCCCGCCCCGCCCCCGGCAAACGCGCGCGCTCTTGCGCTGCCCAACTCTTTCGCGAAGGCATCAGCCCATTCAGCGTTTACCTCGGTCGTGCGCGCGATCAATGGCCGAGTGTCCGTTCCGCTCTTCGCACGTGTGATATACACACATCTCGAAAACTCTCCAAAAATATTTTTTATACACCTAACTTTAAAATATTGCCAAAGTTAAAATGAGTGCAGTGTAATTTAAATTTAAACAAAAATAATATCGGACATTAGTGTTGTCCTGTCGGTGGCAGGGGGTGGTTTTGTGTTTAGTTATTTGAAAAGTGTTTGATAAGAGCCTCGCGCTGGAGCATCCGGGCGGGTTCGCCTCCTCGCCGTGGGCGGCCGTCCTGGGCCATCATCACACCGCAGCGGCTGCAGCGGCGGCGGCCGCCGCCGGCACCATGATGCAAACAGGCGACCACCATGGATACGGCGCTCCGCATCACCCCGGCGGACCCATGGACCTTCACATGCCGCAAGCATTTCCCTACTACCGGTAAGATAAGATAAGAGATAAACTCACTAAATAATCATCCCTTGGAATTATCCTCGGAAAGGATGAGCCACTTGTTGCTCATTTGCATAAGGTAGAAAACTCACATTTGAAACACTCAGCCACACCGCAATTTTAATGAGAATAAATAAAGATATTTGATGTACTCGTAAAACTAATTGAAATCACACTCGGATGCTGATGTTCGTCGTCATGATGCCTATGCTGTTAGCGCCGCAGGGGCGCTTGACACCCCGGCGTGCGTTCGTGCGCTGTGGCTAATTTTCGAGCGGCTTCTTGTCACCGCGGGACTCCTTGACTAATTCTCCACACGACGCGACAATTATTCACGCACAGGTGAATGAATTATAATTCTCGCGGGCGCGACACTCAATTTTACCATCATTTTACCCGAGATTAAGCGACAATTTATTGAAACGTACACCGATTTATCTTTGATAGTCACAACAACATGTCACGAGTAATTTCAACAAATTTATAACAAATTATTGCGTGTGAAACTTTTTCCATTAGTCAATATTTATTTATCTTATAATATTTCGAGTGTGCTTGAAAATGCATTATCGATGATGATGAGTTTTTCTTCGACGCTTAATATGTGCGGCAGTTCGGTTCACAGTTTACCGTTGAAGAGGACAAAGACAAACAATTGTTTCTCAAACAAACCAGCTTCTTAGAACTTTTAGTAAAAAGCACAAGGACCAAACGTCAAACAAAGTTACTGCATTGAAAATTGAAACAGGTGCATATCACGTAGGTGTAACAATTCTTAGAGTAGAAATATTTATCTTTATCCAATTAAATTGCTAATTTTATCAGGATATAATCACACGCAATTAAAATGACAAGTCTTTGTGCTTAATTCGTAAATTAGCAGCGAGTTAATCGAACGTTTACGCGGCGCGGGCGTGAAATTAAACGAAAATGAAAAATATGCAAATGTGCAGCCACTTCAGGACAACTGTTTCTATAATTTCGCTACACTGGAAAATAATTTAATGCGAGTCGAAATTAGGGTGTGCATAGGGTGTGAGCTTAGTGGCGGAATGTCGAAGACTAAAAGGCTAATGTCTTTAAAGGGGGGGCGAAAAAATTTGCAAGTCTGATTTTTTTCTCGACACCTTTTTTCGCACACTGCAGACAAGGGTTGCAACTTCCAGCAGCACGTAACACGTCGTGTGATTATTCTTTAAAACACTTCTAGCATCACCTCTACAACGCGAAGAACTTTAAGGTCCTTCCGCACACGTTACACTAGGGAATGTAGTCTCTCTCCCCCTTGGCGTTTGAATTTTTTCCCTTGCTCGGAAGCTAATATTGAGTGCGAATAAGTCATCGAGTCAAAAGTATTTACATTAATTTGTTTCTGTCCTCGAGGAGCTCACATTCAAGACTTTTTTCTGTGTCTTCAACTCGTGAAATACACACCGCTTTAATTCTTTAACTTTGAATATGTTTAAAGACGCTCGTTGGGGTGGCGTATATTTATTATCGCGATATTAACTTATGATTTATCGAAGTTAAGCGCCCGGAAAATGGCCTGGCGCGCTTTATAATAAAAAATAATGTTTGCCCGAGGGCTTCGCGACGCCGGGAAGAAAATGAAGAAGAAAGCGGAGGACTTGAAGTGGTTTAATAGCGCGATAATGGCTTGTTTTGATTGCCCTCAAGAGTTGTAAACATTCTCACACTTCATAATTTTATCTTTATGGAAGTATCTCGGGTGGAAACGGAACAGACTCAACAAAAACATCATAAATCATCCAGATTTAACTAGAATAATTTAATTAATTAATAAAAAATGATATTTTCGCCCTAAAAAGCTTTCAGCTGAAATTTGCTTGTGGTTTACTTTTTACTTGACGCCTTCTATAATATTAAAACCGAGTCCAACCCTCACCCTCTAATAAATACATATGTATACAGTTTCTTTCCGGGCGCCTTTGCCGCTTTTTCCGATGCGTAACACTTCAAAAAGCATCCTTTGGTATTAAGTGACTCGAGACCACTGAAAAAGAACCGAGGAGGAAAAAAAACCGCAGAGCTTGAAAGTTGCTTCTGAAAGCACGAAAAGTGCGCCGAGTGGAAAGTGCGGCGGAGAGCACAATCCAGATGAATAAATAATATATTCGAAATTTATTTCCGACACGGATGCGGAATTGAAATCACCGAATTATCTGGCCTCAGTCAGATTGAGATTTTCAATCTTTCATGTTTTTTTTTCTCCCAGTGATGAAATTAACTTTTCCATTACTTAAATTAAGTAATAACAAATGACTATTTAAAAGATCATGTTCGAGTCCGTTAAATTATGCGCGCTGTGTCTTAAGTCAAGACTTAAGTCATTTCGACTTGACTTAACCAGTCGACTTAAGTCACTTTAAGTCGAATAAATAAACATTTCATAATCTTCACCGAGACTGTTTACAAATTCACTTAGACGTATATTGAGATATTTAATTTTCAAACAACATACCGTGTGTTTGCAATAATGGAAAAATAATTGAAAAGAAAAATTGTTTTTTCTGTGAAAAATAATAAATGATTACATAGGTATATTTCACAAAACCTGTTTGATCAATTTCAATTTACTTTGTTAGTTTCGTGTAGTATGTTAATGTAAGAGATGCCATCTTATCGAAATCTAAATTGATGTTAATTTACTCGGTAATAATTTAACATTATTAACATAATACGCATTCGATTCGGAGTACGGCCTTTCCATGAGCGCTTGACGAGTGTATTAATTCAAGCATTAACTGAACAAATTAATTAAGCGCAGCTACCAAACTGGATTTCGACGAATTCACTAAATTAACTTGGTCCGGACCACAAATTAAGACATTTACAATTATTCAGAATCTCTTTCAAAGTTTCAGTGATATTTTATACGAAAAATAATCAAAATAAATTTACATTTTGATACCTATAACTTTAAAAACGTATTATTTTCCTTCCCGAATTTCCTAATCTCATATTTTGATATAAAAAACCACATTGGCATAATATCCATCACATCATGTATACAAATTAGATGACATATAGGTGCGCGTTATAATATGCATAATCGAAACGTAATCATGATGATGCGAAAACACGCCGCATCGTCAGACACACGGAAGGCGTTATCATCTCTTTATAAGAAGAAAGAAAAAAGCACCCTGCAAATGTATGCATGAAATATGGTGGCAGTCACCCTCTTGATCATAATGCGGATTTAAAAATTCCGCATTTAAATATTACATTACCTACTGCTGAAAGTTGAGGACGAGATTTCAACTTCGACACCCGACGCGAATATGGGATTATGTTTTTATATCAAACAGAAATTTAAAATTCAAAACTTTGTACGCCTTAAAAAACCTTAAAAGCAGTGGTACCATTTCCGAAAAACGTTTTTTAATGCGTTTTATACACGCAACCTGAACGCACGCGACCCACACACATAATTAGCACTTAATGAGCGCGAAAGAGCATGAAATGAAATCATAAACGACCACTTAATATGCACTAAAACGGTGATAATCATGTTCCGCTTTGTTGAACAGTAATTTTATCAAGATTTAACTACTTAACACCTAATAATTCAATTAACAATGTTTTAAAAACGTTTTAACATCTAAATTTCGCATCTTAACGATTTAAAAGTACCCAACAAAAACTTCAAGACTAGAGCAATGCGAATAAAAGATTCTAAGGGTAGCAAAGGTCTAATGCATATCAATGGACTACCACTAGACTACTAGACACTATATAGAAGACGGGAGTGTGATAGTCCGCTTGTCTGCGTCTTGATCGTCCCGAAAAGTCGATTGACTCGAGCGTATTTTGGCAGTCAGACTGCCAACTGCCATCTCATGTGTTGGAGCGTTGGCGCATTCGGAAATAGATAGAAAAGCTCGCGCGACGAGCAAAGAAAGAATGAAAACAGCGGACAATCGGCAATCGAAAAGTGCTTTATTAAATCGCACCCGAACCCGCACGGAGCGTCGCATTGTGTGCGATATCTAATCGAGAAGATTTTCCTTCACCCTCGGGAGAAGATTGGCAGCAATTTCCGCATACACGTCACACACATCGCAAACAAAGAGACATTATCAACGTGTATCTAAATATTGCAAAATGTTTAATTTACTCACCTTCAGATGTGTGTGAAGATTCACCTGCAGAACCTGAAATAAAAATAATAAAAATAACATTGTGCTTGTTGCCTGGCGCGCACGCCTTAAACTAATTAATAATTTTGTCTCAAACACACTCATACACACCGTGCTCGCGCTCAAAATGAACACATTAATTTCCATGCGCTTGTCCCATGCACACACGCATCGTATATCATGCGTTAAGTACTTCATTTACTCTCATGTTCGTTCCCAACAATCTTAAACACAAATAAAACAAAACTTTGCAAAGTTAAATTCTTCGCGTAAAAATTTTTAAGTACTCCAGTACTATTCGCATGGATTTTTATGTAATTTATTAAAAATTTCATCTCAATCAATCCATATCACGCCGTTGAGAGTACTTAGTACGCACTTAGCGCTCACCGCGGCGTCCCGCTCAAAAGACAGTCACGCTCGAACGCCTTCCTCTCATCTTGCAAGATTTCTCAGCCGTTGCTTCGCCCAAGTCTCCGACACTTCCAGCGTGGCTGAAATTAACGCCGCCGAAGTTAACGTGCAATGCGGAGCGTAAAATGACGTCGATGTCGGCGTAGATCGAAGGAAATCGACAAATTGAAAACGAATCGAAAAACACTACAAGTTATTTAGTCGTGCTTCAAATATTTTATTCACCGACGCCCAGAATACGCTCTCGGCTGTAGGTAATGCATGAAGAACTAAAAGTCGAGAAGCGTCACCGAATGAAAGAAGCTATTAAGTCGAGATTTTGATCGGGAACTATTTTCAAATGTGTTCAATACCTAAGCAGATTACGTTTAAGTAGATTAAAATAAATTGGATCAAGAATATGTGTGGTCGATTTGACATAGAAATAATATTTATATTTTTATCAGTTGTAAGTAATCAAGATCAACCAGTAGATTTTCTTTATATTTTTGTATTTTTCTTCTTCTACGTTTAATCGTTTTAGACTTTGAATTTAAAGCCGTGTTTGCTTTATAAGCATCGAAACCAGCTTCTGGAATTAGTGGCGCGCGGTAAGGCATCCCCCTGAGGGTTGATTGATCCCGCACGACGACCCAAAGTCAATGCATATTAATCAGCTAGACGCGGCAGCATCCCCGAATCGGAAGTGCCTAATTTATGCGCTGAGATAATTCAACTTTGCTTTATTAAACCACTATGGCTGCTGAAGGAGGAGATAAAATAATAATTAACTTAATTAATGAATCGTTTTCGGCACTCTTTCACGCGCGACACAATGAATGTTGTCGTGCTGCTCGCGAGTGTTGTAAAGTACAGCCTGTGTGTCGAAAAGTTAAAGGATGCGGCGCCAAGACACACCACAAACACAACGAACGCAGGGGTTGTGTGTGAGTGTGTGTGGGGTGTCTTTGGCGGAAAGTAACTCTCGTGCGTGTCTCGTGGCTCGCGGCCGGCGGAGAACACAAGATTTCAATTAAAACGACACGCTTAGGTAATGAGGCCGCAGATTTATGGCCGGCTGCTGATTATTATGCCAACGCTCACCACCACCACCACAACAACAACACCGCGGTGGAAAGATGCACGATTTTATAAAGTTTTAACGTTACGTGTTACCTACGCACTCAATTTTTACATCGGGATATTTCATGCCCACGAGATTTTATGGTTTTCATCAAAACTTGCATCGTAACTCTTAATTAACGCGAGGTGACAACTCACAACTTAAGAAATATAAAACAAAATAAAATGTTTTATGTGTGAAAATAAAATCACCCAGAGTATTTATTATGGCAGTAAATAATAAATAATCAATTAAATTGGTTTTGATTTTGTGTTTTGAAATTGAAATTCAAGCCGTATAAGTATAGACGCGAAGGATTCGACATTGTCTTGAAATGATTATCTTCTGGTCGGCCGGCATCGCGAGACCATCGAGAGGAAATTATCGTCGCATAATAATCACAACATCACAAGCTCATGTGCCGGCACGACAAAGGTACAATTTTCGTGCGCGGCGGCGGCTGACGCTTCTTTCCGCGTTATTATGCGATCGGCCAACACACAACAAAGCGAGAAACTCGAGGCAATTTTTATGCATGGAACTTTTTATTTGAAAACTCAAAACTTTCATATTGTGCAATAAAAAACGCATAAAAAGGTCCCAGCGAATATAATCCAACTGAATTTTGTTGTGGTGTAAAAAAGTTTTCGAAATCGAAATAAATAGAAATAGACATTTGAAATATTCAATCGAGAATGAGATTGATTTAAAGCACTTTCAACGATTTGAATATCTCGCATTTCTAGCGCAAAATATTTCTTAGTTTAATGATTGGAACCGTGTCCCATTCAGAAATGCTTTCACGGCTTTGGTATAATCCACGCGGGCGTGAAACGAGGGCGCATTTCTCATTGAAAGCCGTCGGACCTTTCAAACATCCGTATGTAAAGCAGGCGCGTACGCCGTAAAAGGCGCTCCCGAAACGCGAAAGAATGCGCCTTTATTACACAGGATGCAGGAAAAAATCGCCCTTAATTGTATGAAAAATGCGCGACACTTTTTCACCCAACATTGCGTCCCCTTTGAGCAAGAAAATGCACTACGTATTGTAATCCGGCGTAGAGTTATTCCTCTGCTTCTTGCATGAGTTTGCACGTGAAATGTGACTGCGGCTTCTTTACCTGCTGCAGTAGCAAACGCGGATAACAAACCGATATCGATATGAACGCGCAAAGAAGTTGAGGACATAAGAGAAGGACAGCACGCAGCAAAGCAAAGGAATAGATTTGTAATTGGCCATTAGCGGCAAACCGGCAAGAGAGGTTGTTGTAGGCGAAGACACGCGAGCTGTGTGCTTATCTGTTGCGTGCTCATCCGTCACTCTTATCGGGCGGCTGTCCGACACACGCTTTTAGCGCCTCGTCGGCAGGCAAATATCTGCAAATTTCCCATCGACAAACTACACCACTACTGAATTATATTCGTTAGAATATTCAGCAATACTCGTGTGTAGTGTAGACACATTTTTTCGGTTTGTTTGTTGTTCGTTGTGTTTATTTTGAACGTTTTTTTCGTCGATATAAGAGAGTGAATACAATTGAATTGGTGGAATGTCGTTCCATTCACAAACGAAACAAAACACGACGAAACTGAGCGACATCGCATTGTCTCTTTGAGTGTGCGCGCGCGCGAGCGCGATTTTCATTTCCATTCGGACGCGGCGCATCAAGTCGCATCAAGCGAAAGGAGTAGACGTCAAAGTTAAGTCCCGACACAACTTCAAACAAAGCGTCATCACCGATGGCAATCACCAAAACTGGTATACAGATATCCAAAATAACACAGAACAATGCTTTGAAATCAAAAATCATCAAAATAATTATACAATAATTCAATAAACAATGAGAAAAATTAAATTTCTAATCCAGTATTGATAAAAAATTAAACTTAAAGTAAAAAAATTGTAAATAACCTACTTTTAAATTTATAACAAGCGAAAGTTAAAATTATGCAATAAAATACATGAATTTAAAAAATAAGATTAAAACATTGATATGACAATGATATTTTTCTGTTGTTAAAACCTGCAATGATGCAAGAATCTGTGCCAGTTGCAATGCAGTCAGTTTTATCTTCGTTAGTTGATCTTGTCCCGCTACACTTACACTCAATTTGTCGTCTCGAATTTCATTTCAAATTTCATCACATAAAAATAAAATTTCCATCTCAAGCTGCACATTCAACTCGACCTAGGTACTGTGTAACAAACGCCTTGCTATTTATTGCACGCGAGTTGCTCCTCTTATTTCAATCGTTATCGCCATAATTTGAATTTATTTTACGCAACACGCACGCTCGCGCCGGCGTTTTCATAACAGCGCGCGATATTAGGCGCACACAGCTGTCTATGATTGCCCAACGTGATGCAAATATTACGAGATGTAAAATCGGCCGAGAAAAGTGTGTAAACTAGTGAAAATGGCTATGTAAAACATCACCGATGAGTTTTTCTCATAGGGGAGCTGAGGTAGTAAAAGCAGCTAAAAGCTAATAATGTGAAAAGACAACCAGAGTTACTTTTTACGAGCCGAGCCGAAAAAAACCGCACACATACATGCGAGGAATATTGAAGGTTGAAGAAATAATGTTGGAATCTTGTTGGGATCATGTTAAAGCCTAGTATGTACAAGTTTTGTGTCTTGTAGACCTTGCAAGTTGCTTCGAACATGCACCAGAGGAGAGAAAATGTTAAATTTTAAGCGAAAAAGAGGAAAATCTTGTAGTGCCAGGACATGTTCACGCTTTACAGCACGTAAACTAAACCAAACATAACAAAAATTTAGTCTACAAGATCTGCTTTAGAAAACCATAAAACTAAAATCTATAATATAAAAATGAATCGCAAAATCTGTTGGTAAGCGCATAACTCAACAACGCCTAGGTCAATTTGGATAATTCTTTTTTTAAATGTTCGTTAAAGTCCAAGGATGGTTTTTACGGCGAGAAAAATTTGAATAATTGTCGAGAAAACCCTAAAGACAACCCTTTTCTATAGGATAAAAGTTGGCATTGATATTCAATCATAGTTATAGATAAATAGTTGCATCCGAGATGGCACGTTGAAGTGCATTATTAGCAATTCTTTATATAATTAATTTCTTTAAAATAAAATTGCGAATCTTATTGATAGAATTGACACATTGCTTAAAAACGAATTACATTTTTATTATATCGGTAGGGGACGAAGTCGCGGGCAAAAGCTAGTTTTAAATAAAATTTTATCTATTTCGCGTTTTTGAGTTTAAATTTGGCCAAGGACGATTCGGCAACACGCCGAAATGTGTATGTAGATGCGTCCGGGATATGGTAAAGAGGGATGTCATGTAGCGGACATAAACCAAGCGGTCCCGGAAAACGTGTAACATGTGGCCTCAAGTGGTGCGCCTCGTAAAGTTGTCGGGCATGTGGTGGTAACGGCCCCAGGAACGCGCAGCGCGACGCATGTGAATGAGGACGTCGTCGTCCTTTCCACCATCGCCCGTAATGACAATGTGATGAGACAACCCCCTGCACACATATACGCATTATACTCAGCCGATAACTTTCAAACTTTGATCACAAACTTTGTTATTTAAAAGATCAAAACCCGGCGTGTGCGGACAACTTGGCTGCTTAAAGGCAAAGAAAAGCAGATTCTGACATGTCTTTGAATACCATATACTGTATTTGGCTCGTGTCCTAACATGGCAACATGCGCGAACAGGCACAACCCTCCGATTGTCGGCAGAAAGTTATTTTTTCCCTTCGATGGACCCATCGAACTTCTGCGCTGAGTTTTTATCAAGAGACGTCGACCGATCAACAAAAAGTCGTTTTTCTTAACAGAAGTAGAAGCGAAATAAATTTGTTTAAGGCAGTTGATGTGGTTTTGAAGTGTTCTCACCACTTGATATCACTTGCCCGAAGCGCCCCGCAGCGTTGTCGCGGCAGCCACGCTTGGAATTATAAATTATCATTATTAATCATCGCGAGGTAACACCTGAAGCAATGTAATGCAGGCAGGTAATGCTTGGAGCGTGTGTGAATGTGATGTGTAAATAAATAAATTGTCGCCTCACGTTACAAGCCACACCACGATTTATGAAACAAGATTCTTACAGAAATTATTTTACTATTTGACTTTTTTGTAATTTATTTTTTCTTCGTTTTCTGTTTCAGATATCGAGACGATGCCCTTTGTTGGACAGATCGGTAAGTCGAACTACCGAACTCATTGAGTTAAATAAATTAAATGGATGTGTAGTAAAACCCTTTGTGGAATGCGCCTGCGATGTGGACACGGTGCGTGTTTTCTTGGAAGTAGTGTCCGAACCACCGAAACGCAACGTGTGCAGTTTATCTCAGCGGCGAAAACTGGTTGGATCGAGTTTTTTTTTCGGCACTTTGTCACAACTCTTCAGCGCGCAGCACCGCCGAGCCATTATTATATCGATCGATCGATCGATGAGTTTTTGCGCGCGGCTAATGAGGGTGGCAAATAAAACCAAAGGGACTAAATTATATCTAAACCATCAGCAACCTGTTATGCGATTATATTATTAATTTATTTGCAAAAAGTATGAAATTGAAATTGTGCTTTGGGTGCTCGAGTGCGGCGCAAGTTAAAAATCAATGTTATTTCCGAAAACCAATTAGACCATAATTGGCGTTCGCGGATTGTCCGAGGCGAGTCTTTATATGGGCACGTATTTGTTTTGAGAAACGATCGATCGGACGCGCGGAACGCGCCAACGGCCGTCGAAGCTTCCGAAACGCTCCGCAGAGATAACTTCAGAACGTGGCACGCGTCATCCACGACGACAACAACTGACGACAGCCATTGAGAAGCTCGCGTTGCGGCGATATAACACCTAGTAATCGCGACGCATTGAATAATGCATACAAGGATTCATACAACGAGAATAGATCTTAGGCAGGCTGCGAGCGTACATGCTGCGAACTAATAGCGCTTGTCAATGCATCAAAGTAGCAGCAAACTCGATCGGAAAAGTGTTGGAACAATGCGCAGAATGTTTCGACATTGTCTCGAATATTCGAATTGCTTCGAATTGTCGACCTGAATGATTTGACGAATTCGCGAATCTTGTGTGCACGCGATGAAAAGTTTTTGTGCGCCGTGGCCGGTTTTTGCCGGGCACGTTCGCGAATGCGGCGAATGCCGGCTGAAGAAGAAAGAAGTCGAGGAACACGCGCGCGTTCCAGCTTCCGATGCTAACGATTAAACTCCATTGTGTGTTGTGTATTGTAGGTACGAATCGCAATCATTAAAATGACAATGCGTTTCTAATCAACATACTAACAACAAGAAAAAGCAGATTTTTCCGAGAATTAAATTCGTCAAATAAAAAATCGACAAGAATGCGATATTTAAGTTATTTAAGTTGAATGGCGAAAATATGAGTGCATTCCGGGACAGTCCGCATGTGCTGTTTATGAGATTTCTAACTGCCCTATAAATCAACACCCCAATGCGCTAGGAACGCGTGTAATTAAGGGGTGACTTCCATATCCACCTGACGACCTAAACTTCACTCTAACTCACTAAACATCAAGTCAAAACGCAAGAAATTAAGATTTAAATAGTATAAAAATGCATTTTATAGAACTAATTAAAAAGATATGTTTTTGATGACCTTTGCAGTAGTTTCTACTCGTGATATCAATTTCGTAGCAAACGTGCAATTCTCTCCTCGCACGCATTTGTTTATCGCTAATTTTTTACAGCGTCAGCTATTCAAATGTATCTCAACGCAAGCGCTCTAGAGACTAGAAATAAATAAATAAATAAAAACTCACCAATCGAGTGTAGAGCAATGCAGCACGAGCCAAATAAAACACTCCTTCAACATTTATTTCTTTGCATGAACGTGTATTTGAAAACTATCCGTTACCGCCGCCAACGACTTCTGTATCTGCATGTATCTGTAGCGTATTTGTTTCAACTCGCAACTTCAACTCCAAGTAGATACATCAATGCTGCGATAAATTAATAGCGAATAATTACCCGCTCGTTTGTTCGTTTGTTCGCTAGCGGGATCCTTTTACATCCCGCGGATCTGCCAGCTTACACGCCGCTTACATGCGTGCGAGTCGGTTTACATCGGCCGCGTACGAATTTATGGCGCTGGCGCGCTAATGCTATCGCAGATCTACATTGCGTCGGTCGCCATGCGATATGCGCTATTAATTGGCATACGGATCGAACGCGACAGGACAATTTATACCAATAAATATAATGCGCTTATTTGTAACGACCATACTCGTGCGCGCACAGGACCCATTGAATTTCGATATCCGAAGGGGTATAAATTTCATGTTATGTTTAACTAGTTGAAAGAAAAACTTTGGTTGAATTAAATACACTGAAATTGGAGAAATTAATTTTAAGAAAACATTGAAATACAATGGTAGTTTAAGAAAACAATAAATATATTGGTATTGAATGTCGCTAATGAAAAACGCTCGGCATGTCATTTTTAATCACTTTTTTGCAGGTTTACTCCACGAAATTTTATTATTTTATAATCTTTTCTTATAGAGAATTTCTCGTAGATTCAGAATCTTCAAACCGTTTTTCTTCATCGTTTCGAATTTCCGAGATAATCGGAATCAAATTTCAAAATTGCTTAATTTTTTTTGAAAAAGCGTTTACCCAAAAATGTCCGCACTTTTTTTAACGAAATTTTTTTCCTTGCCTTTTTGCCGCCTAAAATATTAAGAACTGCAGCCAACAATAAATTAGACTTTCCTCTCCGAGGTCTTTTTACGCGCGCCTGACTGCGTTTTATGATATGACCGACGAGTCATGCGCGTCTCGTGCATCAAACATGCGGCTGTCGGTGCCGAACTTAGAGAAGTGTCCTTCCCCACGCTCCCACGCATATCATAGTAGTATTATCATTGTATTATTTACACCCGCAGGCGAAACGAGAAAAATTGCGTAGCATTGCTGCGCACTCTAATTTTCCTTAGTGCTTTTCGTCGTGGTACAAAGTATAATTCACTAATATGACAGCTTATGACAATACAAGAAACCGCAATAAAAAAAGACAATGAACTTTTATTGTTTCATGCAAAAATCATGTTTTTACTTACGTTTTTCCTTCTCTCGGCCTCTTGTAGAAGGTATTTGGTATCTTGAAGATTTATGTGGTTCATTTCCGAATCTGTAGACAGAAAAAAGTCCGAAATAACTAACAAGATGTCTCCACAGTCCACGTGACGCAAACAAAATGATAAATGAAGCACAAGCGATAAAATTAATTTTGCGCCAAGGCACAATTTATTTTTTTCCGCCGTAGGGGAAGAAGGCACGCAAACAGGAAAAATATGCTCACGAGCGGGGTTGTTTTTAAATAGTAATTTAGAGTCATCTATCGATGATATCGAGAATATTGGCATAAAATTCCCAATTCGAACTCTTGTTCCGATGATGACTTCAGCCTGATGTTCATCCCCCTCCCCGTGCAACTGCATCGACTGCATTAAACCTACACGGAACTTATTTAGGGGCAGGCGGCAGCATAGGGGGATGAATAAAACAGGCGCGCATCGCACTTGACGTGCTCATTTCGGGTGGCGGTGTATCGCGATGATGTTGTGCGGATTACAGTATCCTTCGGCGGCTGATCTTTGGTTTGCTTCCAGGAAGCCCGCCGTGGACGAGGTTGGCAACCCTTCATCAGTCAACGCACGGTAAGTACCCACAGCATCATTTTTTTAAAAGCTAGCTATAGAATTTGATCCGTGGTGAAATTGAGCTGAATCTGAAAAATTCGTGTGTGTGTTTTGCGCGATGATGCTCGAGCGTAACAGGTTTGCTGCGCTGCACGTGGAGATAACTGCGCTAATTATGATTTTAAATTTTAAACGAACGCGCAACTTTTGTAACGTAATAACTACCGTGCGATGCAATTTCGAGTTAATCGCCTGTAAATTATCGGGGACGGGACGGCGAGTCGTCTTCTGCGCTGCGATGAGTAGACGACGCGAAAACGGCGCGAAAAGATGCGACCGACGCGAGGCATTTTAATAAACGCGTACGTGAGCGTCTTTTTTATTCGTTTCGCCGGCAGATAATGACGGAATATCACTAAAACCACACACAATCCACCACAACTATATTAAAGTTTATATCAAGAGAAAAAAAAAACAAAGTAAAGTAAAGTATAAAACTTTAACCTTCCAAATGACACACTTTCTGTTAATCAAATTATGTGAAAATTTATTACAACATAGTTAATATATTTTAATATATTGTGTAAAAATTTGGTTAAAATTAATTCAAAATTAAAAGAATTATGATCAAAAAACTATTTTTTTCTCTGGATGGATGTAAAATTTAAAGAAAATATCCACTCTTAAAATATATGATTTGTGAATGAAATTTTTGACATTTTTTGTTGAAAATTGCTATTCTACACGTGCGTGCTGTTGCGCGGGTGGACGACGGGTGGAAATTTATCCAAACGCCGGTCACGAAGCCGCCTGTCTGGGTCATCAGAAGAAAAGCGAGCCGCGCGCGCGTTTGCACACTGCAGCTACAATTCTACAACTACAGCTGTGTCACGTTTCGGCATACGTGTTTCGGATGTTATTGCGCGTTCGGCCCAAATATTCGCGCCACGCACGTTCTACGCACACACGCACGTACACGCTATGCGACTACGCGACCCGAAATGCGCGCCTCCTATCAATTTCACATCAACTTCAGCCGCATTTGACTTATTGCAAGTGTAAACAACAAAAGTTGGATAAAACCCTTAGCCCCATCTATGATAATAAAATGAAAACTGAAGTATTATTTAAATTATTTGAAAAACTGGTTAAAATCCACTAAAAATTCAAAATTTTACCCTAAAAAGTGTAAAAATTTAAATGGATGATCCTAAAATGACTCTTTTATAGAAGGTTAAAAGTGACATATGATCCTATATGACTGGAGGATATTAATATGTCAGGAAGATCCAAGTTTTGGATTTTCCCGGTGTCCCGCGCATGTTTCCGCATCATTTTACACGCGCCCCCGCCCTCGAAATCAGAAAAGCGCTTATTTTCCTCTCCGGCTCCAACTCTCCTTCCACTTGCCTGCGAGCACTTCCTGTTTGGGCATTTAGAATGCATGAAAGTGTCATCGATACGGCGATATTTTATGATTGGAATAAGCGAGAGTAATCATAAGCGGAAAGATACCCCGACGGCGCGACGGATTAAACCCCGGGCTTCGAAAACGGACGCGTGTTGCCGAGGGTGTGCAAGAAAATCGGTCAAGGGAGATTCTGACCCATCGAGCCGAATTAATCCGAGCAGCGGTCCATAAGCGCGACACTGACCCCCTGCATGATCTGAACTTAATGCTAGATTTGCGCCGATTTAGTTTTTAATGTTTCCGAAATGCCTCCGGAAGGGTTTTCCAATCAGAGGATCAAACCGTTTAATTCCAACGAGATTAAAAAATTCAAAAATTTAGGTAAACCTTTTTTAGCTACTGTTTGAAGATAAATTCATCCAGTCATCAATTTTTATATCTACACAAGTCTTGAAGCAAGAGTTAAGTCTCGCAAGCTGAAAGAACCAGTTTCAATATAAAATTCTTTGAAAAACAAACGTCTACACTGTGTACACCTACAAAACCACTTTTTACTCTACATACGCTCGGGAAGGAAAAAGAAGACAAAACAAATAAACGCTGAATAACCTTATAAACATCATCGATAGTAGGCAAGCTATGATGCCACTCAAACCGCAAACTCCAACTACAAAGGGTGGAGATATGTATGTGGTGATGATAAATTTGCCAAGATATAAGAAAATTTGTTTCGCGTATGGATCGCATGATAAACAGGTCTGTGGGGAGGTTGCGAAGATGCCGCGCCACCGCGTGCGTGAATAATTGATCAGGCGAACGGAGATTTTGCATTTCCCACATTTCCACACACACACAATATGCTTCTTTGCGTTCGAAACATATGCGAACCAAGCCCTCTTTGTCTCTATTTCGTAATAACATGCCACAAATGTGATTTATCGCGATATCTATCAATTTTACAATTTTGCACATTGCAATATTTATGCAACCAACTACACTAACCTCAAAATACCTATAACTTAAGACCTAGTAAATATGACTGGATAAAATCTTTACTTTTATTTTATTTTTCTTCTTCTCTTTGAGTTTTTTTTTATGATTGCGATTGTGATACCGTCGAATTGGTCCGGTGTTAGAATTCGGGATTAGGATCCAAATGAAACTTTTTTTGTGTGCGCCGAAAAGAAGGTGGAAAGCATATTGACAAGGATTCTTTGATGACCAAAATTACAATTGGAAATTGAAATGGAGCCATAAGTTTAGTCTTATCGCCGCTGTTATTGGGCATTTGGAAGTTGATGGCGGCTGACCACCGGAACCTGTATGGAGTGACCCCGTCTAAGGTAATAGCTGATCAATGATTCAGCAACGGAGTATCCGACGGGGCAGTTCGCAACTTTTACGACTCTTCGCTCCCAGATCAACTCGAATCTATCTTAATATCCACCATCCAAGGGTGGAATTTTATTTTTTTACTTTTACAACCACAAGATAAATAAATAAATAAATAAATAACTAAGTGGAATTTTATCAGGTGGACAGCAAACGTTTTTGATTGTTTCGTCAAACTTTGCATGTGAGGTCAAGTCATGAGCTCCTAGGGTTGTAATCCCAGCGGACATTAGCGAAACACACGCCTGGATTATAGCCACAGCGTTGGGACGTATTTGAAAAGGGACTGTGGACTAAGCTTCGGACACGATGCACCTAACTCTTGGCCTTCCCGACCTTAAACGACGGTCATTATGTAAACAAGCACTATCTTTATCTGCGGCTACCGCCACCACACACAAATAAAACCCAAAACCAAATTGTAAGAAGTCGCCTGCTGACCAGTTGCAAGTTATTGAATCAACCGCTCTCGCACGCCAGCTGCTGATGTTGGACGCCCAGGGGGCATTATGGATGTTATGGGTTATTCAGTCGTGAGATGGGATCGTTTAAAGCAACCGCGCCGCGACTACTTTCATTCATACATTCGATTTCGAAGCATCGAATCGCCTTCTATCCGTTGAGTTGAGTTTCATTCAATTCCTGTCCCCTACTACTCTTGATCTACGTCCAGAAAATATTTTTATTTTGATCATATGAATTTTATGAATGGAGCTATAAAAATACCGAAATTGGCGCTTGCTTTCAGTTATTAATTGTATAATTTTCACATTTAACGAACAAAAAATTTACAAAAGAATTTCTTCGTAGAATAATGCACTGTTAATGAAATTAAAATCTTTTCCCACGATTATATGATTAAATTAATTAGTGCATTTATTTTGGCTATTCATTATGTTTATTATGATCAATGTGACATTTTGTCATTGAGCTCGGGACGTGCGCATTGTTTCACCTTTCTTAATCACTTCATTAACATAATTTCATGCATGTCATGAGTCTCATGATGTGTCATAAAACTAACTGTTGCTTCATTTTAGTTTAAAACACAAATTTCAACAAGTCTAGACTCATAACAACTAAAATATACTAAAAACTTTTTGTTTAAAATTTATACAATTATTTGCTTTTATAAAAACAAGAATTTAATAACAAAACAAAATTGAACAGCAAACAGTTGTATCCTACACGTCGATTAATCTTCGCAGGACTTTATTGGAAACAGAACAAATGTCCTGTCACCTCCCAATGTCGAATACAACTTAAGTTTCCGACACTTCCAAATCCACACCGACAGCCAAAGTTACAATTACAATTACATTGAGAAATTGACGTACGACTAAAGTTCCACTTGCAATATATGCAAATTAAACCGAAAAAAATAAACAGGATGAGAGTAAATTAAGGCACCGGGAAGAAGAAATGAGTCTTCTTGATGAAAATGCAAAACCAGATAGTGATATAGGTACAATGTGCAACTCTGCTGCAAGAGATGCAAATGATTGAGCACTGGCGGAGCAAAGGAAGAGGCGAAAGGAGAGTCCGTCGGGAGTTGCGAGTCTTAATGAGTAGCTTGTCTTCTGTCTGGCGAGCGCGTCGTCGATAATTAAGACAAACACTCGTGGGAGAGACGAAGCGACGATCTTCTTATACCTTGTGCGACGCAATGTATAAATTTGTTCAATTTAATACGACTGAATCATTTACATCTAACATAATTTGACTAAATTTTTACATTTTTTGCTAAACTTTTAATACTTTAATCAATTTAGTTGATTACTTGGATAAAATGCACATAAAAATTTAATCAAACAAATTGTCCAACTTGTTTACTCGATGTTGATGAGCTCAGATGAGATGTTATCTAAGATTGCAGTGCAATTTTTCGTTAATTTGTAATTTTAGTCGAAAATTTCGTCGAAAAATCGAAACTTTAACGGGCACTTTAACAGTTTAGCAGATTGCTTTTTATTTTTATTACTGCTTGATCGCAATCTCGTGCGCATGCCGGCGCTAATAAAAAAGAAGCGCGGATAATGAAAGAGACTCGAAAGCACTTTGCATACTGGATGCGACGGCGACGTCTTGGGGACGTTTTTCGGATATTTCTGAAACATTTAACACGACATTAACTCGCACTCGCACGCGCGTCGACAATCGGCTAATTTACTCGACTGGAGCAAATAAAAGACGCAGAAGAAGCAGCGAGAGGACT